TTGCTACTAGTAGCGATGGCCTCCAGCCTAATGGCGATGGCCTCCACCTAAGATCATTGGCCTCCATCCTAGTAGTTTCTTGCTACTAGTAGCGATGGCCTCCAACCTAATAGCGATGGCCTCCACCTAGTAGCTTCTGGTTACTAGTCCAAGCGGAAATCACATGGACTTTTGAGGAGCCAATTTGACGCACAGAAGCGCCACTCTAAGCCTCTCAAAATGTTCACCCCCTTCGCTCCCTCAGTGCCCCTGAGGTCCTCACCGACCATCATCATCCAGGCATCACCCTCGCTATTCGCATGCAGCTTGGCCAGTTCAACGGCCTCCTCCACCGACAGCGCCGTCCCATCCGCCACGCCGTTCCAACGCGTCTCCAGCGAATGGGTGCGACAGCACCTCACAGGGAGCGGCGCGGCCGGCGCTGCCGCTGGCAACTCCATACGCCATGTGGGCACTGCCGAGCCAACGGTCGAGACTGCAGGCACAACTGCTGGCCAAAGGGTGGACAATAGTAGCTAGAAGCTACTAGTAACAAGCTGCCTTACTACTAGTAACAAGAAGCTTGTAGTAACAAGTGCATCGCCACTCGTAACAAGGACATTACTAGTAGTAATATTGTAGTAATAGTAGTAGTAGTAGTAGTGGTAGTGGTAGTGGTAGTAGTAGTAGTAGTAGTAGTACTACTAGTAGTAGTACTAGTAGTAGTAGTAGTAGTATGGAGATTATGTTTGAAGATGTTTGCGAGTGGGTCAGGTGTGGCCCACACAATTCTCAACATTGCATCTTCAGTCTATCTTCGAGAGATGTTCACTTGAACCACCACCTTGGAACTGTGGCAGGGCAATTGCGCGGAGTGTGCTAATGGAAAGTGTCTGCTAGCTGCTAGATGGCTTTCACTGTTCTGTCAACTCTGTAGCTGTCTGAAAAGTGTGGATCAGTGGAGAATAATGCATGCGGAGGATGTATATATATAGATCTAAATAAACAAATATATATTGTTTTGTTAATTATAAGGATGGAAGGTGTCGGATACTAGGTGTACAAGTCTGGAAAAAACGTGTTTGGATGCGGGGTGTCTCAGTTTTGCTCCATGGCTGGGCTGATGCACATGATCGTCGTATCTGCTGCTCAAAGGGCCAAGGATTGCAGCACTCTAAAGCGCTCCACAACAAGATCAACACTCCAAACTTCAGCAAAACACATCTGCAAGCAATTCAGTAGCACGTAATCATGTATAGTACCCTGAGTGACTCTCGTCACTCTCGTCTCTGCCAAGCCTAAGCAGCCTTTGCAAACCTCAGCAGTTCAGTGCCATGCCAACACATCTAATGAAGTTACCCCGACTAAATTCTTATTTTTGCCACAGAGTACCCGCTTTCCAGCCCTCCTGGCAAACCCAGAAGTCGCTACCAAACCACTGGCCAGCTATTGCTGCCAGGTCGCGTAGTACATCACACCATGAAGTGGCAAGGATTGAGCCGAGCTTCGGTGCGGCAAACATGTGCAAAAGGAACTCCAAGCTTTTGGGGCACAAGCGCAACAAACACCGGTGCCTCTGAAAGCAGGGATCCGAGCAATCACATCAGCACATTCCTACAAACACAATGCGCCGAACCAGCACGTCCGAAGCTACACGTCCGCCGGCGGCAGCACGTTTCACTAAACACCATCAAGCCAGTATCCTCCTTCAGCCAAGATGCCGAAACCCCAATGACGACTTGTCCTGGCAACCGACGGAGGTCGGTCGGACCGGTCGGTGGTGTTCGCACGGATGTGCCAAGGGACCGGTCAAGGAGGACACGACATGCGCCAAGTCCGATTCCACGTGGACCTGCCACCCATTGCTTCACATGGAAGCTCGCACCCTCCACATGCTCTGCTTTCAAAAATATATGCCAGTGTTACATAAACTGTCGCGAGAATGATAAACTATGATAAAATCACTCCAGTTCCATCAGCAAATGCATGCGGTCTTAACCCAAAGAATCTGCCAAAGAACCATTGTTTTCATGTTGTTAACTCATATTGATTAACATTTAATCAAAACACGCGCAAACTACAAACATGTGAAAGGGAATCACTCCAGCCGTGAACTCTCCGAACCTCGGAAGCAGGGATTGACGGCAAGCCCTTGACCAGGGCCGAGAAGGCCTGCCGGGTCAAGAGTGTGCTCTTCGCGTCTTTCGCTGCATCATGTTGCCAGCAACTCCGGTGGTCCCGGTGGTCGGGCCCACCTTCATGGTATCTTGCACCTTGGGCCGGGGGTAGGAGCAAGGAAGCTACTAGGCTTGTTCCAGAATCATGCCTTCCCCTCTAGCACACACACACACACAGCCGCGGTTGGCAAGTATATCTGTGGTAGCAAGTAATGTCGACATCAGATTGATCAACCCCTCCCTTCGAGGTCAACAAGTTGACAAGGTCAGCAAGGTTTGAGATTGGGTGGATTGGAGACCACATCCCCTTAATAAAGAGGATGATCTGATGATGAATGATGAGATGAGGACCTGGATCTGATGATGGATGATGGTTGATGGGATTCTGTGGGAATCATGAGAGTTTGAACCATGAGAATCATCTCAAAGAGATGGCATGAGACAAGGGTGGATCTGAAAATCAGGTTCACCATGGAACAGAAGTCTCAGAAGATATTGGATACTGCCCAAAAACAAATTAGAGAATTAAGATAATTAAGAATTATAAAACTAAGCATAATTTTTCTTGGGGAGCCAGGCTTGATCAATAGGGGAAGGTTTCTGCTAGGAACAAGGATTATTAGGGCGATGTACATGTGGAATTCAGGTTCTAAATTAGTTTACTATTTGGGGCTCGAGCTGGGCCTGATTAATAAGGGGGTTACTTAATCCTGTGTCAACATTATGTAATGGGTATCGCTACCAACTATTGGCAAATCCTTAGATTTCCGATGATGTGGGGGAGCGTGTGCATCTCGGGTTTGTTGTGGCAAGACAGTTCAGGAGAATCACATTGAGCTGGGGCCTTCGGCAAGGGCATTGTGGGGTGGACATCTGGAGCTGCTACTGCAGCCTACATAGCCAAATTAACGCACACATCAGAGCTATGGTCATGCCCCTAAAGGACCTCCCAAAGCCGGGCGGTTCTGGCACTTCTGCGGAGTCTCAATCTGTGGGGCCGTGGCACGTTGCTCTGGCGGAAGAGGCGTCGCTGGCGGAGGCCATGCGCCAAGGAGCCCAGAAAGGTGGCCTTGGAACGAGAACTGGGCCCTGGGAAGAAGGTCCCAGCTACCAGGCCGATATGGAGAGAACAAAACAAGGCCTTCTAAGATCAGTTTCTGGTTGGGAAATGTTGATAATGATTTGGAAAAGGGATGAGAAAAGGCGGTCAGGACTGACTGTAGGCAAGTCACTAGGTACACCATAGCCAGGTAGAGCAGCTTTGCCCACATGAGCCTCACGCTGTTGACAGATTTCCCCTTTTGCGCAACACTGAGGCCCTCGCCTCTGCTGAGTGCTATGCCCAAAGGCCACTAGGACACAGTTCCTCCCAAGGTTTGGGGGCATGTCCAGCTTGCATGCTTCCAACAATGCCAACAAATCGACGCCTGCTATCTGAAATCCAGTCGACCCTATCCAGTGTTGCTTGAGAAACCCTTTCACAATGCGACACTCCATCCGCCGTTCATCATTCCTGTATGCCGTGCCATAAGGTCTCCGACCCAGTTCCAGGAGCTCGGTATCCACCTGATAGCGAGGCCGCGGGACAGCCCAGAATATGTGGTGCTCGGTGACATGCAGCTTTGTTCGATTTTGTTGCTCAGCAAAGTCCACTGACCAATGTTATAGTCAGGAGCTGATCCTGTCTTGTTGGCCCATCCTATTGAATTTGGGAGCAGAACATACTTCTCACATCTTCTCTATACTCGATGCATGTGATGCGCAGCCAACAATTGCATGGCATGAGGGAGGGAAGTTGATGCGGTTGCGGCGGGGTTCAGCTCTGGCATGTTGAAGCTTCAAAGGCCACCTCTTCTCAAAAATGAGTGGCGCCAGGGCGCAAGGTAGGCCAACACCACCCAACCAAGTCCCACAGCCAAAGCCCAAACCACCACCTCAGCTCCGAGCAAGTCACCGAGCCTTTTAAAGCCACAAAGCCCAAAAACGCCCCATTTGGAATCCTTTGGCATCCTATACTGGAACAGCCTCAAAGCCGTTCAAAGCCCTACACTACACCTTTTGCAGTTGGAGGGCGGCAGCCAAGAAGTTGAAGTGGAGCATCAATCCAGGCCCACCGACTTCAGTTCGACAAAGGTTGGTCATCCACGGCCACAGCTGACGATCCGTGGGATCCCGGTACTTCTGCTGGGACCGGGCGCCTAAGCCTTCATTGAGGCCCTGCAAGTTGGTGATCGGCCGGCAGTGGAGATGTACCAGGTAGCCCAAGATCAGCAGTAAGGCACATCCCGAAATGGCCGCCACCAGGTAAGCGACCCATAAATATTGGACCTGGTTCCAGGGCTTTCCTGTTTGGAAGACTCCCGGGAAGTAAGTTTTTATCCTGGAAAAGTGTGATGCACCCAAGGCACCCAATCCAAGGGAATATGGAATACGTGGTTTCAATGCAAAAAAGGTCCAGCCTGGCATTGCCCGCTTGGGGTTTGCTCATACCAGGCAGCACATTGCAAGCAGCTGTCTGTTCCGTCCAATTTGGGCCGGTAGCAGCCTTGATTGAAGGATTCCGGAGCAAAGGCTAGCTTGATTAAAGGACTTGGGACTGGTAACGGGAGATGGACCATACCCGGGATCTCCCAAGATGTAACGTGGATGTGAGCAATTGTGAGTAGAAACAATTGAAACGTCCCAGCTACACTCGCCAGAGTCAGTGAGCAAAACTCGACTCAAATGCAAAACCACAATGTGGGTTTCCGTGTTTCTTGCTTTCTTTCTACTGACCTTGGGTGCCCGAGGACCAAGACCGATCAAGCCAAAACAATCCAAACCAAACGAAATGACACATCACCCAATAGCTGAGTGCGAACCAAACCAAACACCACCCGAACGGTAGAGCTGGGTAATGCATCACATATACTGTAGGTTGTTGCTTTGTTTTCCTGTGGGGGGAGGCGCTGAGCACAAATTCAGCAGCCTGACACGTGTTCAAAAGTCGACCGTTTCCGGCTGCAAGGGACTTGGCTGTGTTCTCATCAAACCACTTCCATGTGCCAGGTTTCCACCCTGACTCTGGACTCCGACCCCAACAAGCTCATCCAGCTCTATCCACTTACGCCTGTTCGTGATATAATTTTAGTGGCTGCTCATAGTGCAGAGCCAAACTGTTTCCGCAAACTCACAACTGTTCATAGCCTCAAGCGGACTTCAAGGCTTGCTTAAATGATCTTAAATGTGCTCAAATGCTTTGGCGCTTGCATAGTGTCACTTTCACATCTTTTAGACAATTTTGGAGGTTTCTAGACTTCTTCAAGCTTGGGCACTTGACTCCAAATCTTCTTGCCCTTCTGCTGAGCTACATTGCTTCCCACCCGAGACTGCTGCTATGAAACTTCAAGGAATCAACATACATAGGTGGCTAGAGGTCTCTCGTCGCTGTTTCATCTACATCCACAGGTGGCGTTATAGCATGCGTGGAGTGTTCCAGAGGGCTATGCTACAAAGAGCGGCACCATCGAAGAACCTTTGAAATCTGAAAAAATCTGAAATCAGTTCATCTCTCAGCCCAGCAGCCATCAACCAGGGCTCCACGGCAGGTGCCAGCCTCCTGATCTGCCACGGGCGCATCGGGATTGTATCTTGCACATTGGGAGGCCGCCACGCAACTGGCGGTGCAAAAGGACATCCCATGGCGTTGATCCATGGCATGGTAGGGGCAATGGCCGGGGCAGCGTGCATTCATGTCAAAGGACTCGTTCAAGACCAACGACTGGTTGCAGGGCAATGATGCGATCAGCTGGTCGCAGACCGAACCTCCCGGGAGAGAAAGCGTCAGACTCATTGGGAGTCTGCGGCAGCTGAGAGTCTGCGAGGCGAAGGCGGTAGTAACAAGAAGCTACGACGTTCGGGGCTCCTGGCATCACTTCTAACTAGTAGCGATCGGATGCTACTAGCTCGGGGCTCCTGGCCGTGCTACGAACGGAGCATTCTTGCTTCTAGTAACACGAAACTGCCGAGATCGAGATGGGCGAGAGATGGCGAGATCGAACAACGGCGATGGCGAGCTTGAGGGAAGACACTGCCTTGAAGCCGAGGTCCTTTGGAAGCGAGATCAGGTTCAACTCGAGTGAGGTTGGATACGGCTACCTCACGGAAGAACAGGTTGAAGTATTGGCTTCTAAAGAATCAACGGGTGATTGCACATCTTGGAAGCATGTAGCCGTAGGAGTGTCTCAATATAATCAGACCCCCCCTGATCCCTGATAGAGGAATGCACTAGTGAAACGTGAATACTCGTCGGTTTCCTTGTTGACACTTGGATCATGGTTCACAGCAAAATCTACAGCCATTCCATTCCAAAAGGCCTGCATCAGCACGTGTCCTGAGTGAACTGCAAAGTGAGATCAAACACATTCAAACACTCTCACTGGTTGATGCACCTGGCGGCTGTCTGCATGTGGAAGAAGTTTCTCCACCGACAACCTGATCACAGCCTTACTTGGCCTGAAATAAATAGCCGAGTTAGATTAAGTTAGCTAGCTTCAGGCTTTGCTGCTGACATCTGCTGACTCTCGCCACTAGGGTCCCCACAAACCAGGCAAACAGCGTGAGGTGGGTTGCATCCAGCTTCATGCCTGAGGCGTCCGGTCCGGGGGCGCCGTCTTGAGCATGGAGCATATTGAAGCACGTTGGGGTACATTAAGCAAAGGAATGAGGGATATGAGTGGGCGATGTGTTCGTGATGTGTCCAAGAAATCCTGTGATGCCCTCCGGACAGCCACGCTCACACATGCGGGAGCACCTCTTTGGAGCAGGCCAGACACAGTACTCACGTGAACATGTGAAACAGTGAAACCGCTGCAGTGACAGGTATCTTCTGGTGGTTGAGATCCGTCCAGCCCGGTGCAACTGGCAGGTTGCAAACCACCAAAGGTTCTGTAAGGATAGCCCAAAGGTGCCAAGATGATTGACATGGATTGGCATGGTGCTTGCGAAGGGTACATCGTCAGAGTTCAACTCAAGAATGCACAACGGATGTGCAGCATTGCGATGCCCCGGGTCCGCTTTCGTTGTCGTTGCAAGTGGTCCCTTCAATCACCTCGTTTCTATTGTGCGACTGGAAGGCTGATTCCGGCTTCGAGTGGCAGGTGCGTGAGGAACTCCAGCTTGTCACGGGTCAACTTTGTTCCATTTCCTCCGCTCCACATGAACACCACCATACCCGTGATCGGCATCTCCACCCGAAAATGCAGGTATCCATGGGCATCCAATGGCCTTACGACGGCGCTTGCAGCGTCGCCCAACTGCCATAGTGCCAGGGGTTGAGAAGACCTGCAACTGACCTAATTCCGCGTAACTTCCGTGACGAACATGAGTGCACTCGGTCTTCTCCGCGAAGCCGGCAGAAAGACCAACCATCGAAGCCGCACTGCTTTGGTCTGGACTTTTCTCCACGTGCAATGCATGACGAATCCGCCCGTGCACGAGGGTTGCGCGATTGTTCACATGATGCCCTTTGCTCCGTTCGTAGCGTCCTCTTGCTCCCAGTGGTAAGGCCAGGAGCCCCTAGAAGCGTCCTTGCTCCTAGTAGCGATGCCAGGAGCCCCCAGTAGCTTCTTGTTGCTAGCGACTGTTCCAAATGCAAAAGCTTAAAGGCTCCATCCCTTCGTTTGGGTTGCCAAAAGAAGGCTAGGGCATGGGAGTCGCCCTTGTAGTGGTGCACAAACACCCAGTCCAGCGCCATGACTGGCATGGCACATTGAGCAGCTCACACTCAGCTTGTCTTGAGCCTTAAGGGCCCTGACTAGACGAAATTGAGCTCTACTCTACGCTTTGAGCCCGCTTTGAGCTGAAGTATGGCCTCGATGACCCGGTGACTTCGGCCGTTCCGAAGTACTGAATCTTGATACTTACTGTGACACCTATACCATGGCATGTGACTCAGGGCTTCGCAGTCAAGACGTCTGTCATTGAATTTGAATGATTTTGACATGTGTGAAGCTGCGGTGTTCGCATGCACCCTCTTCTCTGAATATGGCCTCCAGTGTGGCCTCATCTTTCCAAGCAGCCCACTTCTCTGAAGGCCATTGCCTGCGTGGTCAAACAACGCAAACTATCGGACTAGAAGTGTCACTGGAGGCGCTTGGTGTCTAAGACCTACTGTAAATCCTGAGTGCTGAAGCAAACACACATCGTTTCAGCCTCGAAGCAGTGTCCAAAGCATTCATTCCCAAATTGCTATAAAGCCGCTAAACCATGCAGCAAGCTCAGCTTAGCAATGCGTATTAGGTTCATCTGCAATTTTCTCCGCGCCAGGGGCAACGACACTCCAAGGATATGTCTGAGCAAGATGGAGCAACACGGGCGCCACTGGCTCTCGCATGTCCAACTACTACCCCATCTTACAACCCTTCCCAAGACCTTCAGTGCCATGGCTTTGGTACAGTACCGGTCTTGAGCCCGAATGCAGTCCAGTGCGGTCTGGGCAACCTGCTCGGGTGTGAAGGGCAAAAGAAATGGCAGCACCAGCACCTCCTCTCGACTCTCGACATTCTATCCGGTTTTCTTCCATCTAAAGCATCTCCATAAATTTGTTGCGCAACTTTTTGCTTCATCGGCATCTGTCTGAAAGAGGTAGTCATAGTCCTTACAAGCAGGCTGCAAACCAGCAATTCAATAGGCCAAGCCACACAGCCAAGTCATCAAGAGAGTTTGCAAATTCTAAGCTGTTTAGCTTTTGGAAGTTGGAAGCTTTCATTTCGCCTACCTGTGGGTTTCCACTAGCCAAGGGCCTATTTGCGGGTGTCATCCAGCTGTGGAACCCCGAGCCTTCGCCTGTCTTCAGCCGAGACACGATCCAAACCTCAGATCGCGTGGACAAACCTCAAGACCGGTCTCAACAGTGAGGATGTAGGTCCCAAACCTGATCCTAGTTAGTGGTCAATTTGACCCCTGATCCATGATCTTCCCGCAAGAATGACACCCAGAAAAAGTGCGGATTGAGGAGAGGATTTGATCTGTGCTAGGTGGCCCTTGACAGGAACACCTGTCCGCCAACCTCCCCTCATTGCCAACACTTTGGGTTTCCATGAGCTTCATAGACCACAGAATTTGAACATTCCTATGGCCCACCATGGCTCTTCGCACACTTGGAGGGACCGGTGCCGAGCAAACCCAAACCCAAATGTTCTCTTTCGTAGATCTCTTCTTGGATCCTTTGTGAGAAGGTTCTTGGCCAAGGAGTGGAAAGCATAGAGGCCATTTGTAGCCCTCTATTTGCCAACTAAGTGAAAGCTTTGTGCACTTGTGACAAAGGGTGAGGTCTTTGGGGGTCATGAGCTGGAAGCACCCTAGCTGCAATCTAGACTGGAGCTTGTGGGGCTCAACAATCAAGAGACTGCTCCCATCAACTGCTCATTCTGAATCATTCTGATAGGCTTTGTGTGCATGATTGGAGGCCAGGGATTGGGCGCATCAAATTCCACACTCAACGGATTTTCCGGGATGCCCGGCATCTCGCTTGATGAGCGTGATGAGAATGCATCGCTGACCTGCCTCTCGATCGATCAACCAGCCAGAGTCTTCAGCCTGGCGCAAGATGAATCATGAGACGCTTTACCTTGGCTATCCAACAGCTTGCTGAAAGATAGATATCACAACTTGAATGGGCTTAAAGAGGATCCCCTCCCTTGCCTCCCTTGCATTAAGTTGAGCACATGTAGTCTAAGGTGTCACGACTGTTTGCCGTAGCGGGGCGAAGAGCCACGCTGGATCCAGGGTCTGAGATCGGTCCACTCACATACCGCGTGCCGAACCTTCTTAGGCCAACCAAGGCCCGACTTCTAGGGGTCAATGAGTGGAACCGGGTGACCAAATGCAAACAAAGATCAAGCACCAAGGCATTGATTTGACATGATTTGAGAGCAGCCACTGGGATACATGCACCTTGTTTTAGCCTACCCTCACCCGAAAGAACAAGCTATCAAACTGTGAGGAGGTTCCTCTAAGAGGCTCAAGCCGTCATCAACTCCCAGCCTTGATTTCCTTCCACAATGCTCCGTCCAGCAGAACCTTTTCACAGAGACTCACCGTGAGATGCGTCCGCCTCGCTGAAAAAGGACGCTTGCCCCCGCAACGGCCACAACCCCGCAATGACCCCAATAAACAAAGCCAAGCAATCCAAGGTTTCAAGAAGGGATTGGATTTATATGGAATTAATAAGGCTGAAGTATATAAGGGAGACTGTCTTTGGGAATGGGTTGCGACAAAACGGGATTCACATCTGATGCCCGCCTGATATCTACCTGGACGTCCTCCACCCTAACATCCTCCGCAATGGGCACAAATACCTCGACGACAACGAACAAGTGACTCCAAAAGAAGCGTAGAATGCAACCGCGGCGCTCATTTTAAGGATACGTCCAAGGCTTCCAAACAGTCTGCATTCGGTCAGCGAATGCCGACGGTGAAAATGCCAAAGTTGGAACACCCCTTGCCAAAGGAAATGTCTGCGCTAAAAGAGGGATACCGAGAGGGATCTTGGAACTAATCGAGCTTTAAAATCATCTTGTGGCAAGCGCTTCCATCCTCAGTCTTTGTCATTGACTCACTGAGCGCAGCTAAAGCTCAATGATGTCCTCCTCACTTTCTTCTCCTGGGCCTCCTTTCCACCACCAGCTGCATTGGTCACTCCTCAAGCTGGTATCTTTTTCCATGCATTGCTGTGGAGCGACAGTATTTCGTGAACGGGTGCCTTCTGAACGAGTGTGTCGCAACAAAAACACCTTCACGAATCAACTGAGGCCATCTACCTCCCACACCTCCTCGATGTCAAATGGAACCTGAGCACAAGGACTTGCGACGAACACGTCTGGTATTTGCATCTGACTCACCCACCTTGATTTTGGAAAGGCCACAAAATCAAACGATCCAAGCGCGAAGGCCAGGAGCATGAGCAGACCTGGGGAAGAGATGGGAAGAGTCAGAACTCAGAAGCGACACCATAGCGGTGCATGTGCATCCTGGCCATAGTCACTCTGCCACAGTCTCTCATGCTATCATGGTGTATATGCATTCCCAGTACCTTTGATATCCTATGATGCCCATGTGATGTGTGGTAATCCGCGCAACTTTCGCTCCTATCATCCCATCCACCGCTTTTTTGTCGGCCAGTCACTGCAGCTCGACAATCTGGGCATCCAGATGATCAATCAGCCATGCACAAGTGGGACATCAGGTGTGAGGAGTAAGCCTTCCCCCAAGCTCGGTCACGTACGAACAAGATCGTTCCTGGAGTCCCTCCTGCTACAAGGTCTGCCAAGCCAATCCGTTTCAAGACCCAAACATTGCCTTGAGCCCAGAGGGTCTGCAGAGCAAGAAACGTACACGCTCTCGTCATCGTTTGTATTGGGGTAGCGCACCGTGAGTTTACAGGAGCATGCATCTGGATTCCTAAGGCGAAGGACACGAACCGCTGGATGGTGACTTAAATTCGTTCCGAAGCGATTGTTTTGAAGCAACCTGAGCAACTACTTGAGTGACTTGCGCCTGTCAGTCTTGGTGCTTTTTCCCCCGCGATCTTGTTGGCGTACCCGCGCCCTGGTGATGAAATCCTCGGCCAGCTCCTCCATGGAATAGCGCATGCGCAACTTGATCCGAAGCTTGGCAACCTCGGAGGCACGTCATCGGACACCAAATCAAAACAACAAATTCGAGGGCCTTTGGGTCCCTTTCGGTGCTTAGAAGCTACTAGGTTGGAGGCCATCGCTACTGGGTTGGAGGCCATCCGATACTAGGGTGGAAAACTGAATCACAATCCCAGGCAGCCAAGATGTCTTCATCATTGGGATCCTTGATGGCCACGACGCCACCCCCCACTGGATTTCGTGTATCCTCGCCCGTGCGGGTCGCGGGAGGTGTAATGCGTCAAGAAAGGTGCGGAACTGTGGAGGGCATCAATCAGCCACGATGACATCACGCGAAAAGGATTAAAAAGCTACATCCTGAAACTTTGGCGTTGATACTTTGACACAATAACTCTTTACATAGTATGTATTAACTTACTATAATGTCGGGGCATCCCACCTGCATGCCGTAGTGCAGCAGGTTCGCCATCGGCAAGACTCCCAGGCCCAACAAGCGTTGCGTTTCACTGCCTGGCAGTGACCCATGGACCTCCACCCTCAGGTGCCCCTCCATCTGCTCCAGGATCTGATCATTCACTTGGAACGGCCCGAAGGTCACCTGAAATTCGGCTCCACCAAGAGGCGAGCGAGGTCAGCTCGCACGGACGTCCGAACATGTTGAATCAACAAGTATCATTCAGAGGATCTTGGAGTGACTGTAGCCGACTGTCGACTGTATTCATTCGTTGGGTCCTAGCCTTCTCTGAAGGCTCCCAACACCAGGCCCCTGCAGCCTATTCAATCAAGGCTTCACTCAGCAATACCTCTGCCAACCAGTAGTTCCCAGTCTATGCGAGATCATGAAATCACACATGCTTCAAGTCTTCAATCGTTCCAACTGTCCCATCAGGAGAACTCTCCCCTTGGCCCATGACAAAACGCCTTTCCCGTGCCTTTTCAACCTGCTGGGCTGTCCAACTTCATTGTCCCACCGCAAAGAGTCTGGCCCTCTTTTTCAGAAGGCAGTCTTGGGGCAGCCAATTGGAACTTTTGGAGGGCCCCGTCATGCCCCTTCCCTTTGCCTATCTCAATCTGTCCCTCCTGAGGTCTCAATTTCACACATTTCACTTCAGGCTTTGTATGATCTTTTTATGGCTCTTTTGGTCCATTTCTCCCAGTGGCTAAGGAGTCGTAGACTGGATTCAGCCCCACCGCCACCGCACTGAAGCCCAGGTCAAAGCCGTTGAACTCCACCGCCACCAACGTGCGCAGCTCCTCAGCCAGGCAGGGCAGCGGCGGTGGTTGTGCCACCTCGGAGACCCAGCGGTTGAGCTCCTCCTGCGGATCGCTGGATGGGTGGAGAGGTAGGGAGAGGTAGAGCATGGAAGGGTTGGTGAACGCTTGACTCACACCAGACTCAGGGTAGATGGGATGGTCATGGATGGTCTTAACAAATTTTGATTTAAATTTGTGCAAGCTGTCTTGTTCTGCCTTTGGAATGGAACCCGCGCATATGCAGCGTAGTACAGTGAGGATGCAGTGGGTGTTTGCTAGACCCGTGTGCCAACACGGATTTTACTTGGTGCCCATTAGATGTTGATGATGTTGTCATGGTGTCATGGTCCCACGACAACGATAAAGGGATTCCCAGCATCCTTATAAACGTTTTGTCCACTTTTGTATACTTTTGTACTATTCCATGTGTGCCTGAGACGCTTAGAGTTGATCCTCGCATGGCACTCCTGAAGGCGCTGGGCAGCCACCAAGTCGATCTCGCCCACACCCACGAAGACGTCCAAGGCGTTAGAAGAGTCATCCAAGTCAGAGACGTCGGAAAAGCCCGCAAGGCTGAGGGTATCCTGCAACGTGCCAAGGCTGTTTGCGAAAAACACTTCTTGTCTTTGCGGCTGTTGCACGCTGTATGTATTTAATTATCGGTTTTCTTCCCTGCGCATACTGTATGGGCAAATGTCAAAGCTCTTCGCCGGCATGTCTCAGCCCTTCTCCTGCGCCTTGTCTTGCAAGGTCACGCTTTCAAAGCCTGCGATTCGCCTCTGCAAATCTTGGATCGACTGAAGATGAGCAGCTGAAATCCTGGACCATTTCTCTCGATCCCGGAGGAGACTCTGAGACTTGCTTCTGGCATCCTCCAACTCTTGAGCCTTTGGCATCCGTGAGACATCGATGTGGACGAAACTCTGAAATAGTCTTTTACATGTCTTTCCTTATGAATCATGAACTGATGAAAAGGTCTCGCACAAGTCGCTGTGGCCACTACAAGCACCCTCTCAGGTAGTTCACGGCGCCAGTTGGCTGCCAAACTGCAGTGCCTCCCTCATAAGAACAAGAATCAACCCATCCTCTTTGTTTGTCTGTTGGTATGTACGACCTCGGTTGCTTGGGGAATCATGCAGAAGTGGGTGGCTAGCAAGTGGCACCAAAAAACGCATCTGTTGGGCGCTGCCCCACTCTGTTGGGCGGCTCCGCCTGTAGTGCTTTGAAGTTCTTTGAGACTTGGCTCTCCCTCTCCAAGTCCATTCGCAACACTGCCACCTAACACCCAGCAGCGCAGGTGATGGGACATTCTGTGCATGGTGACAGGGGGGTCATCCTTGATGAACAAGGGCCACTTTGTGTTACTAGGGCCCAAAACATATGCGTGATGTAGGGATTGGCTTTAAGTTTTCAACCCTCCTATGTTGAGTGCGGCCACTTCTTTGCAATCTTCTGAATGGACCGGTGAACGCTTCCATCGACACCACGCGTCGACAACTATGACTGGCCCCGGAATGACTACCGGAATGCCCAACACCTACCCTACCCCCAAACGTGAACGACAACTCCTCAGAACCTGTGAAGGGAAGGACACCTTCAACCCAGCAAGTCAAAAACAGCAAGAACCGCGCTAGGGTCAACACTGGGTCAAACACACTGGGCCAAGCGCACTGGGTCAACCGCCCTCTTGGCACCACCTCCAACCCTCCGCACCTGCCGTCGGAGGTCGTCCCGCTCGCCCTCGAGGCGTTCGATGACCCGTGCCATGGAGCCCGTGGATTGGAGCTCTTCCACGCTGGGCACCGCAGTGCCCTCCGGGCGCTGGAGGCCTGGTACCGGAGTTGGAGTGGGCGAAGCGGTGAAGAATGCCGCACTTGTGGGGTGAGGCCGAAGGCTGTGCCGGATGTCTGGTGGCAAGAAGGTGCAAGAAGCATCAACAACGCATAACAACTGCGAAAATGATAGAAACTTCTTCCCCCCAAAAAAGGCACCGTGGCGCCACCGGCGTCTTTTGGAAAAGGGGGGAATTGCTCTCCAAGACGCGAGAGAAAGCAGCACCCTGACTGCCGACCACCTCTGAGAGGGCCATCTCCAGAGCTTCTTGATTGTCAGGAGGTAGCCGCTCACGCATTAAGCGCATCTCACGTTCCACCTTCTGCATCTCTGAATGCTGGGCCTCGATCTCGATGGCCAGCTGTTCATTGCCTGAGCCAGCGATGTAAGCATATGTGACCCAAACCCCGTGACGTGGCTTGTGATCCCAATAAAGGTAACATTATATATATATATATACACAGTATTGATGTAGACCCTGTAGACTGTGGCATGAATGCCGGCAGGGCACGCTGCTTCAAGTCTAAACATCTCGATTGAAGCCGCTGCTTCTCTTGCACCATCAGAAGCCGGGCTTGTTGAGCTTTCAGATGTTCGTCCACCTCACCTTGATGCTCCGCCGTCTTCCCCCGCACCATCGCTTCCATTGCGGCAATCCTGCGATGCCGAAGGAGGCGGTTCACGAGATGAACAAATCGGCCAGCGCGACCCGTTTCATCCTGTGTCCGGTTTCCGCAGATGTGCGCATGCTATCGCATGTTTGTCCGAGTGTTTGTGGAGGCTACCCACCGCAACTAGCGGCCCTAGGCCTCATGTTTGCCTCCTTCCGGTCATCGACTTTGGAGAGGAAGGAGTTCCTTGGAAACAGGGACAGCCAGAACATGACCAACAAATCCAGGCAATCAAAGTGACATTCAGCACAGGGAACTGCATAGAATCCCGAAAGAAAGCAATAAAGTGCAATATTATAATCTGGCTCTTTACACGCCAGGGTTTGCTCAATCGCTTCAGGACAGGACTTGGACTTGGGTGGATTTGCTCCGATTTCATGCCAACTTCCCCCTCCGAAAGTGAAGGACCACCTTGCTAACCCCGATTGGATCGCGGAAAAAACGGGCGCTGCCGTCACTCCCGTGGACTCCAAGCGTCCCTTCCAGTCGTTGCAGTTGGCTTTGCAACTGCCGACATCGCTCCTCAGCTCTCAGCACCTCGTCACGCAAAAAGCCCGCCTCGCCCTGGTCCCGCGTGGCTTTGGCCTCGAGTGAGGGGGGGCCGGTACGACCCTGGTCAAGAGTGGGCTGTCATAGGCATCCCTGTAGAATCTTTGTGAGCTGTGCAAGTAGAAAATGGTGAGATGTGCCAGTCTACAACGAATGATGAGAACATGTCACAAAAAGTCCAACAAGCAACGTTTGGTAGAGTTCAAGCCTTTTGTGGACCACGACGAACATCATGTCTCCCTCCAAACAGGCAACGACAAAAACGGCGCAGAGCGGCCACGTGCCTGTTGGATCTCCAGCTTCAGAGCGGCACGTTGCGCTTCGTAGGCGTGGATCTCTTCCTTCAAATGACCTGGACCGCTGGGCCCCGACAGCTGAGAGGAGCGGCGTTTTCACTCTGAGGGCGGCCGTTCCTCTGGGCGTTTGCCTGTTCTCCCGAAGCACCGCGGTCAGCTGTTCGGACGATGGTCGGTCATCGAGGTCGGTCTTTCGCCCTTTGTTCCGTTCGTAGCGTCCTCTTGCTCCCAGTAGTAAGGGCAGGAGCTACTAGTTAGTATAGCGTCCATTTTTTGTAAACTTTGTAAACATACAGGTATAGTTCTTGATTCATCATTCACCCCCTGCATGACGAGGTTTTACAATCCAATGAAATAGGAGCATTAGTAACAGAACTGGGAACTGTGGTAGTGCGCATGTTGTGCATGTTCTACCTATTTCAATTGTACTATATATCTTGTGCTACTAATCAAGGCTTGAAAACATTCTAGTTGAAAGAAGCAGTGGCAACGGAAAAGTAATACAAAATCCAATCCAAGATGCCTCCTTGTTCCATTCGGCTCATTTCCACACCCAACTCTTCTTGAAGCTTGTTTATTAATGCCCCCTTTTCATTGAGCCTCTCTTCTCGAACTCGATCCTCCACATCGGCACTTCCGGGACCGCGGCTCCGGGCAGCTCGAATCTGCTGGAGGTCTTCTTCCAGCTTCGCCCCCTGCGGTGCTTCACCACCGCTTTGGCGCCGTTGGTCGCGCGCGAAAGCCGCTTGGCGCTTTACTTCGAAAGCTGTGGATGCTGGTGGAAAGGTCATGGACCGAGGTGTCATGTCAATGCTACCACAGGGAAGTCAAGTGGTAGGAACCTAATCCCTTCCACAATCAACATATAAACCGACGCCCGGAGCCCCGAATGCGGTTTACTAGGATGTTTGAAACATTGGCCTCCCCCAATCCAGCGCACCATAGCGCACCCAATTCAAGACTCCAAAAAAGTTGGATCATGCTGGACCTTAGATCAATACATATCCATCCCAATTGAGTAGCCAGTGCAAGGGCATTACTACTAGTAACAAGAAGCTACTAGTAGCTCCTGGCATTACTAGTAGTAATGCCCTTGTTACTAACATCTGCCTCCAGTTGCAGCTGCGAGATCATCTGCTCCTGCGCCTCCGGGGTCAATACCGACACCGCCCGCGACAGCTTCGGCAGGTGTGGCGCATGGGGCGCGGCCGGCACCGGCGTCGGCGGCCGGGGCGGCCCGGGGGTCCCGGGCGTTGGTGGTGGTAGAGGCCGCATCTTGCTGCGGGAAAAGGCGGCGGGAAAAGCCCCAACTGGGCTTTAGAACGGGCGCAACATATGGCAATCCTGCTGCTTTTAGTTACCATGTTTCTCTCTGTTGGGAAAAGCATCGTCCCAAACACGGCATGTCTCTTGTGATCCGCGTACCATGTCCGCATTTGTGTGAGGAAAGGTTGGACCATTTTGGAATGCCAAAACTAGGTTAACCGGTCAACCCAAAACTCTGTTGGATGTCTCGACCCCATCACCGTCGAGATAAGTAGTTTTTGAGGTTTTGACTTTGCAAGGACAATTCATGTAAGAACTGCACAAAAGTAAAAGCGGAACGGTGGCCACCCCCCGAAAATCCCTCAGCCGGGATATCAGCTGGCTGAAGTCTTTTTGGATCACTGGGCATCACTGGGCGCCCATCATACCTGAAGCTTCAGCACAGGTGAAACCTAGTAGTATGACAAGTAGTCATGCCGATCATTTACATCCCTCCTGCAGCAAGCCGCTCGACCGAGGTGTGAATGATAGCAGTCAGACTCTGAGAGGGATGCCTCAGAGCAAGTGCCTGGAATCTGCCAACACGAACTTGGAGCCCCTCACATGACAGGCGAACAACTCTCTTTCTGTGCACATTGGACTCAATGGTCAATGCCCAAATGCATAATTGGCCCATTGGCTTTACAATGCTGAACATGGATCAACAGTTTGTAGGGTCTTGAGTTACCTTTCTGAAACTCTCGTCGTTGAATCAAAGGCACATCACCCCTCTTCTGGGATAAGCAAGACCTCTTGTGACTTGTGTATATATGTGATTATATGTTATGTATATAGTTAATTGATGCATTGTGGCTGCCTCAGCTCACTTGGTAGTATGCATGATTAGCAGCTTCAGGGCCGCATCAGCTGATTGATCTGGAGACTGCAGGAATCTGCGGAATGCTGTTCTTGGCACCACCATCTGCCAGCCTGAACCCTCTAGTACAACTCAAGTGAGGCGTAGTTAGCTGGTGGTTCACAGCACTTGTGATCCTTTCCTTCATGATCGGCATCCGAATCAGTGGGTGACCAATCCCAACTAGATCAAAACCCTTGGGCAAAAGCCAATGGTTCCTGGTTGGCCAACAAATCCACCAATCATTGATTTTCCTCCAAATCATCTCTACGCCATATCTTTAAAATATGATACTGTAGCGAATTCCAACGGGAACATCCCCCACTTCTCCAGTCTTTTGTTTTTGTTCCACTTCCGGTCCTCTCGCCAGTCCTCTCGGTCAACAAGTTCTCCAGCTTCTGCTGAATCCGCTGCACGGAGATTTGCAGCTGCGCCACGTCGTAGCTCCGCGCCAGGCCTGGGGGAGCGGGGCAAGGAGCCGCAACGAGTGGGTCAATCCACGGATCTCAAAGGATCCAGGCGTTTGGAGCCGTAGCAACAAGGGGTGAAGGGTTTTTCCGGATTTCAGGTGGTGAAAAGGCTCTAAGTGTTTTGATCATCAGTCCAAGTGGAACCGAAATGATTGAAATTGATTGAGTTGAGTTCAATCGGAGTTTGTTCGCATCTTGGGTGGCTGAGTTGTGGAGAATAAACACATGGAGAATAAACATATATATATATTTATTAATATATAATAAGCCTTAAGTAAGCCTAAAGCGGTCAGCTGACATTGCGACAGGCCTTTGATTCGCATGGTCCCATCCTCGAAGTCTTTCAAAGAGATCTCACCCTCGCCTCAGATGCATCGAGGATGGGAAGCTACTCAGTTTGGTGTTCAAAGGCGGCTGTTCCAAACTGAGGTCAAGATCGGTCTGAAATGATGAGAAAATGGAGGTGGTGGAAAATGCAATGGTATACATGGGCACATCCATCTCAAACATTTCACAGTAACCACACTGCCTCAACGCTATGTATGTGCATACATGTGTTTAGGTGTGCGTGTGTGTGTGTCCAAAACACCTGCAGCACCCCCAGAGCTAACCCCGAAGAGCAGGAGAAAACCATGGATTCTAGTATCATCCAGCGCGGAGTGAAACACTCTTGCACATCAATCAACATGGGTTCCTTGCTTTCGGTGGCGCTCTGAGGTTGGTTCCTTGATCCAACATCTTGAAGAGGCCCCAAAGATCATTGGTCTCGATCTCCAGCTGCGTCAGCCAAGCTTGCAACTTCGGCGCCTAACACCCGGGTCGACCACTTTGGGGTGTGTCTTCGTCGGCCGGGTGGCACTCTTGGCGGTTGAACTCAAGCTGGGCTAAAGGAAAATGGGGAACCCATGGGGAACCCCTCAACATCCTCAACCCTCAACTATTTCATATCGCCGATTTACCTCGCGGCACCCTGAGAATTCACTCGTGGTTTCGGCCATGGCCCTCTACAGCCCAGTGGTCTTGGGGTTCCATGCTGTTTCATGTTAATCTGCAGGGGAGGAAGGTCGTAAGCTTTTTGTAAAAAAGGTCCGGTCTACATAACATCTTGTTCAGGACAGGAGAAATCTTTGGTTCCTCCAGGTCCACAGTGGACCGCGGTGCGTTCTCGGCGACGTTTTGTTCGTCGCCTTCAGCAGTCGCTTGAACTCATGTGCGTCGATCTTGCCATCGCCTGACGTATCCACCTGTCCTTAGAGTGGACAAGGGCGAAAAAAGAGCGCGGCTCCAAGTCCCCCAAACAGGCGCTCCTGAGGAAAGAAAGCAAATCATCATATCTGCCGCGCTTCCCGTTCCATAGGTCAAAAAAGTAGATCTGTTTTTGCATGCTTTCGCGAAATAAGCTCAACTTCCTACACCCTTTTGTAACAGAACAAAAACGAAAAAACAATAAACATACAAAGTTACAAAGTGCCTTTCTGGACATGTCTCTGAAGAGAGAGTTGACCTTTCGTCGATAGGCTTGCTCAGCCTTCTTCTTCTCCAACAAAATGAATTCCTCGTCTGCCTGGGCCACCTGTGTCCAGCGAAAGAGGAAACACGTGTGGAGGACGTCAGCCCCACGAGCCTTCATGGTGGATTGGACGAAGACGGCGTTAACCTCAGAGCAGATGCGATGGCCTCCAACCTACTAGCAATGGCCTCCACCCTGGTAATTAAGAGATGTAGATCGGTGAGCGTTGCGCTCCACCGCAAAACAAGATTTGAACCTTCGCGCATTCTGTTTTGAAAAAAGGTGAAGGAGTGCCGTCGAGAAGGGAGCTAGTTCGCCTTTCAGCTCCCTTGAAGCGCTCTTCGCCGACGTCCACACCCTCTGAGCTCGCCGCAACATTCAAGACCTGTGAGGGATGCCAAGTTGGACAAGTCACAAAAGGCAAAGCTCGGATTGAAAATGATTGCTACGTGTGTGCTCTCTCAATTCTCTCTTTATCTGTTGATGGTTTTATCCTCTGACACCCTACGAGTGTTGCATTGAAGCTCATATAGATTCATGGTGTGTGTTTTTCGGTTGTCTTCTTGCCTGCTCACCTGTCCAAAAACAGCTGACAAAGCCAAGGTCAACTCGATAATTGAGGACAAGCGTCTGCGAATCCAACAAAACACCTGAAGCAAGCAAGGGTGGCTTGAAAAGGAACGCTCGTCCAGCAACATATGAAGCACCTGTTGCACAAGGGGCGCCAACACATACCTAGCAGGACCTAGCACCTCGGGCCCCAGATGGAAGCCGTGCACTTGTCTGCTGGACTAGCCAGCTTAGGATCTCCAAGGTGAAGCGTAAAGCAATTCAAGCCAAAGGAGCCCTTGACCAGTCCTCACCCATTCCCAAGGTCTCAAGATTGCGAGCAACACCCTCCTGCTGTTGAGGTGGAACGAGATTGTTATCAAAAATCATCAAATATCTCTCCCTCTCACTGACGCAACCAGTTGAAAGCCAGGAATGCCACCAAATCCAAACAAAAACAACAAAACGTCGCAAATTCCGGCCTATCGACCCTCTCCACGTGAATCCAGCACCAAATTCCCACAAACCGATCACACCTGTAGATGACGAAGACTAAAGCGTACCACTCGCTCACATTGTCGATCAGCACCCGGCAGGGCGGAGCCCAATTTGCAAAAAGGACCTGTCTTCGCCAGAGCAACAGAACTTCACACACAAGCACAAGAACATCGGTGCAAGACTCATCCATGTGCACTTGAGGCTAAAGACTGGATGTACTGTGCAAGAGAAATCGGATTGAACCTGGACTCCAGCAAGCAACACTCGCCTCAAACATTGTCAGTAAGGTCTTCGTAAAGGATCCATAGTATCTAAAAACGGCTTCCCGATTCTTGATATCCACGGTTGGATCCACCAAATATTCACTGACCTGCAAGCATCACAAGACGGAGCACTAGAAGATCCGCAGATCATGAAATCAAGACTGCTGGCCTCAAAACTAATAGCGATGGCCTCCCTAATGGCGATGGCCTCCAACCTAATAGCAATGGCCTCCAACCTAGTAGCGATGGCCTCCACCCTAATAGCGATGGCCTCCACATGTTTTATCATGTTTTCATATGTGTTCAAGACTACTTGGCTCGAAGGCATCGAGCAAATGCTTGGCAAAGCTTTTGGTAGCTTTCTATGTGACTGGGGAGCGTGCCAAATAGCTAATGCTCATACCAGCGCTGATCTGAATGATCATTAAAAGAAACCTTGGCCCACACAGCCCACATATGATCAGGCATGTGCTTTGATGAACGTTGCTTGCAATTGCATGAGTTGCCTGCGACTGAATGAGTTTTTCACAGTGGATATGTCCTTGCGGTCCGGAACCGCATGTTTCATTCAAAGGGTTCACCCAGAGCAAAACAAGACACTAATCCACTAGGTCAGGCACTATGGTCCTACGGACAGTCGCGTCCCCGAGGACGCTTGCACACCAAGCGGCAAAGACCAAAAGAGTATTTTCACCTCAGCCAAAAGGCTGTGCATCTTTCAAGTGGGCCCGGTTGGTAATCCTGGTTCAGCGATTCAGTTCAGACCTCTGGCAAAACAAAACCGGTTCTTTCGGGAGTTGTGGGGTCGAGGCCTCGTTCACACAAATTGTTCCCCTACTGTGCTTGGTACCCATGTGTTTTTGATCCATAAGACGTCTTATGGTGGCAACTTGGCTGTAGGAGAATCGCATGTCTGGCTTGTTGTGGAACATGACATGATGGGTCTAAAGAGTGCTCAACTGCCACTCCCTCTGCTTCACCGGGGCGGAAAGTACTTGACTCTCTCCAAGAGGCACTGGCTGCAATGCACTTCCTAGGGCCGAAGATGTAGGGGCTGAGAGAGCAATCTTCTAGTATGTAGGACCTGTAGCCTGTAGGACCTGTAGGAGGTATGTTTTTCGCATACTTACACAATGACTTCATCATCATGATTAGATGATCTGATATGTGGTCTTGGCCTTTGGGTGAGTCTGGATTAGGCTAACGATGTTTCTCCTCACATTCAGATCATTGCGCCCGATGTCGTTGACCCTGACTCAGCCCCCAGCAAAAGCAACTGCAAGGATTCCAGGACTTGCGACATGCGGACAACACGAATCGCTCGTAGAAGCCTAGGCTCGAGGATTGCTCGAGACCGACCGACTCCAAGTTCCAGCGGCCGCCCAGCTGAGATGAACATTAAAACAAAAGTCACGAGCAGTGATGTCAGTGACACGTGGTTTTGCTTTTCTTGGAAGACTCCATCAACAATGATTGTTTCTGGGAACTTGGCTGGGGTGCTGGGGATACCCTGCACCTGCATTAGTCAAAGAGTCAAAGGATGCTTAAAGGGTCATTTATGGTCAATTGATGAGCATCCATCACTTGCTTCGTGAGGTTTCACTCTGAAAGCACCCACGTGTCTGTCGGTTTTCGTTCCGCCGGCTGCCATGCTGCTTCCCCAAGCGGAGCATGCGCAGGAAAGTGGGGTTGATGGGCAGGCCGGCAGCAAACAACTCAATCCATGAGCTGCAAACCTGGGATCTGTCGCTGCATCGCAGGAAAAAGAAAACCTTAAGAGATTCCACCCGCGCTGTTTCTAGGTATCCGTAGATTGGTTGCCTTGCGCAGGGAAAGGAGGATTTGACCATCTGAACAAGTCATCCTAGAAACCACCAGAAAATCCAGCCAGTTCAAGAAGTACTTGAAGAACGTGAGTCGCAGGTAGAACTGGCGGATCATCATCTCAAGCCTTAGATCGATAACAGCCGACGGCTGCGGCATCTTCACAAAACGTTTTTTCTTGTGCTCCGTCATGTCATGAGTAGCAGGGCGATGATGCCTCTTGCTACTATAGTAGCTTCTCGCTACTAGTAGTAATGGCCTCCACCCTACTAGCGATGGCCTCCACCAAGGAGCGATGGCATCCACCCTAGTAGTTTCTTGCTACTAGTAGTAATATGTAATAATGCCCTTCTTGTTACTGGTAGCGATGCCCTTGTTACTCATGCAACTTTGGTGCGTAAACAGGGCAGCGAAGGTGATGTCGCAAATGAAGAAAACGGTATCCGCATAGGGCCACGCCTGGGCAGTTTCACTGAACGAATACATAGTGATACCAAAACTGAAAAATCTCAGGGTGAGGACAGACACACCCAAACTGGCCCAAACTCAACAAACGACGTTTGGCTTTGCCCCGCTTTGGCTCGCTCTGGCTCGCTTTGACGCCTGAAAGGAGCCGTGCCGATCCCGCGCCTGGTCTGGCGGAGTGCTATACCTTTCGATACCAATGTTGTACCCGTTTTGCAGCCCCAGGAATTGCAGCTGCATTGCCATTACACCTGCGTCGGAACCAAGAGCACAGGCTGAAAACTCAATCACAGCCGCATGTAATTGATTGAGTTGTGTGACAATTCCGGTGTAACATCTAGCTTCTGTTGGCTTTCGGATGCGGATGCATCACTTGAGACAAAGCGATTTCTTGCCATGAAGCGTTTTTCCGAACTCTCCAGATTGATCAGATTGATTGAGCATATCTGGTGCCTGTGGTTCCTACGATGTTCGCCCACGATGTTTCGCCAAGCTGCAAATGTTAATGAAAAGAAGAATGGCCACCATTGACTCAAAGGAACCTCAGTCGGCGTTCAGAGGCCATCGAATGTCACACATGGCCGCTGGTCTCTTGCCGGCGTTTATCATCACACAGTAAGTCAGTAGCCTCGTTGCATCATCGTGGGATTGGCTGGCAAAGTAGAAAGGACATCGAAGTGTTGATTCCCTCATCTTCAGACAAATGCTTTCAGACTACTAGGGAAAAAGGTGCCAAGAGACTACTGAGGAAAAAGGCCTGTATCCGACTCATCCGCGCGACCTGGAGTCAAGGAACTCACATGTTTCGGACCGCTCATATTTTCAGGGTTGCAACCACTTTGTTGTCACCTACTATCACTATTGGCTATGTTGATCTGTGACGCTGCTTGGCGAACGCAGTGTGACAACATGTGACACTGGCACCCCAATTGCTCAACGCCCGGCTCAAAGACCAAAGAAAGTCCCATCTCCACCATCGACACCTTCACCATGCTTCAGGACGGCCCCAATTGCACCCGGCCTCTTGCTCATTCGGCTGCTCGTCGCTGGAGTCGGAGTCCAGGTCCAAGGGATTAGACCCTGGCGGGCGGAGTGAGTGGGCCCCCAAGCACGGCCAAGATCGCTAAGTACCAAGCCGTCGGTGACTTTCTTGGGAACAATGCAAGCATGCTCGAGCATGCTGATGCTTTGGTAGGGTTGGGTAGGTAACAGAACCTTGGGAAGGTCTGGGATGGTCTGAGTAAATAAGATCAGGTAGGCTTAGGTAGGATTGTGTAGCCTGTGGTCTTGTCCCGCACTCTGCAGGTTTCGCAATACCTTTCTTGCCTTTTTGATGGGAATCTGTCTGGACCCTTGGTATCCCTTGGTACCTAGGTGGTATTTGATCTTTTTCATCCGGCTCAGGTCTTTGGCACGATTCTCGCCCAAGGGCGAGTGTGTGTGCAGTGGTTCGTGATGAGCCTTCTTGAGCCTAGTGGTTCTCCCTTCATCCATCCAGTTCGTCCCATGTTATGTCATGTCTTGTCATGTCGTTTCATTTCATGGCCACTTTAGCGATGAATCTGATTAATTAGTAGATTTATGTGTCTCCTCTATAGGCTTTATAAATTTATACGGTGATGGGGAGTGTTACATTGGGGAAGTGTTACATTGAGGTTCTAGTTATTTGTCCGTTGATCTGCAGAGTCCGGCTGTTCCATTTCTCCACTCCGATGGCTGGAGCCATCGGGAGTCCACCGCACCTAGTCACTGCACATCGAGTGGTGCGGCAGAAGGAACTGCCAAGTCGTTCAAACCACCCCGTGAAAAATGCATCGGACATGAAGCAAAGAGAACCCACCAAACAATCCTGACCCATTGTACCCCTCCGCCTGTCGACATGAATGATGCCTTTGACGCGCGGCTGGCCGTAGCGATGTCGAAGGTCTTGGCAGATCGTATTGGGGACTCTGCAGGCTCCACAACCAACTGCTCGTCATGAACCACTTCCTGCCAGGCGAACTGGGCCATCGAGAAGGTGAGAAGGTGTGGTGGAACATACACCCCAAGCACTATCCCAAGGCTAGTTCTGCAGGATGGCCAACCCTCAAACATATCTGTCAAATTGCTACTGGGAGCAAAGGGCATCGCTACTGGGAGCAAAGAAGCTACTAGGGGCTCCTGGCCTTACTACTAGGAGCAAGGACGCTACGAACAGAGCTTTTTGACCGAGCGACGGTGACGCCGGGGCCCTTTCAAGATCAGGCTGATCAGGCTAGCTTAAAGCTGACGCCCTGATCTCCCTTAAAGCTTGACCTCTAGGCCAATTCAGTGAGAGGATTGCAAGCACCTAGGTGCCAAAGCCTGGCCATGTAGGCAAAATAAAGGAGTTTGTGTATCTGACATATGATTAAAACTGTTGAAGGCTGCCCTGCCTATTGTTGGGTTAGTGCCCAGCATTTAGCTGCCCGAAGGTGGGACACCACAAGTCACGCCACTTGCTGACCCCAAGTGTCACCACTACAAGTCACCGGTCGCTCCTCGATTGGTGGAGACAGGCCCAAAATCTCTGGCCTTGGTCGAACAACTCGCCATTTGGCGAGTCACCAGGATGAACCAAACAAAAGCGCTCAACTTGACTATGGTAGACAAATGTGGATGTAGTTCTTCAGTCAGTGGTGGGGGAGTTGTTCTTTTGTGGCGTCTGTGAATATGTAATACAATGGAAGTGAGATCAGAAAGGATGAGAACATGAGAATCGTGGCCGTGTTGAGGCTTATTATCCACTCCATACCTCACTTTCGTCAGCGGGAAGGGCGGTCGATAAAGACCACCAAGCATGAGAAGCAAATCTAACATTGACTCCAACATTCAACATACTTCAACTGTGTCTCAAAAAAGGAAGCCATGAAGAAAGACGACTAAAACGGCCGCCACCAAAAAGGAACAAACTGAAAAGCGGCACATGAACATGAACCTTATATAATACATCTTAATACTGTTTATATACAGAAAGGGGCCTCAGTTGCAACACTAGAGGCCTCATTTGCTTTCCCACTCTCTTTACATGTGGCATATATATATATATATATATTATATATACACATAAATGATCCAAGAAATGATTGGCTCATATTGGCTCGACAGCGGGTCCCTCTCAATGCTGTGACCGCGCGGCGGCGCCAGGTTCTCCTGGGAGTTTCCATGTGACAACCTGAAGCGATTTTCAGGTGTTTGCGTGGTCTGAGGGTGCGGTGATTGTGACACAATCCCCATGGCACCAATTCGCTTTTGCCAAAATTGCTTTGAATCACTTTTACATTAGTAGTAACAAGTGCATCGCTTCGAGTAACAAGGGCCTTACTAGTAGTAACAAGGTTCGCTACTAGTAACAAGTGCATCGCTTCAAGTAACCAGTGCCTTACTAGTAGTAACAAGGTTCGCTACTAGTAACAAGTGCATCGCTTCTAGTAACAAGTGCCTTACTAGTAGTAACAAGGTTCGCTACTAGTAACAAGTGCATCGCTTCTAGTAACCAGTGTCCTACTAGTAGTAACAAGGACGCTACCGGTTCAACAGTCCTTTGTCTCAACGTGCCCAGCAGTGCTGGGCGACTGAACAGCGCGCATCGAGGCGCTGCGTCGCCAACACCGTGCTTTTTCGCATTGAAGTGCTGCTCAGTGACAGGGGCGACCCACTCGGTATGGACTGCCGTAGTTGCTCTATTTCCGTTTGAAGCAGGTCCACCTGAGGTGAAAGAGCTCGTCTGCAGGTCCACCGTCCCTCAAGTGCAGATCCACCCAATTCATCTTATATCTTCTTCTATATATTATATATTCTTCTTTTTCTTCTTCTCTCAATCTCTAACATTCAATCATTTGTATGGTTGCTTGCTGCGTTTTCTTTTCATAATCAAACACATCTTGTTCTCTCCCTTCGTTGTCTTCCATCTCTCAGAACCTGGTCACCAGCCTCAAATCTTAGGCCCCGAATCCCCGCCCCCACACTCTGCTACGGTGAACGCAGGGATGGTTCGTCAACTTGGCTCTACTCGGAACCACCGGTTTTTCCCAGAAAAAGCATCCCACCAGCTGCGCTGACTCACCAGGATTCACCAAATGATTCAAGCCCTTCAAGGCTGACATGTGAACCTTCTCGGAATTGGCTCTGGTCAAATCACGACCTGGTTATGCATTGGCCCTGCCCACCCTGCCTCCTGGGTATGAACTGCTACCAGCTCCTCAATCAGGCGCTGGAAGCTGCGCAGTGGCGGAAGCCTTCGGTCTTTGGGCACCAGAGTGAGGATGTCCTCTTGTGAGGACACCATGCTAGGCCAAGCAAAAATGCCTGGGCTCTCCAAGGGCCTTGGCAAAGCACACAATGCCAAGGGATCGGAGAGAAGCTGCCGACCCCCAAGGTTGTTCAATTAGTCATGCACCCTCTAGTGGCCCAGCTGATTGAACAATACAAGAATAGATCAGAATACTAGAGATGTTGATTAATGAAGGATGCAAATGGGTCCAATGCCGGGACGTTTGACATTACTCATTTCATCGCCTCTTACATACCCGGACCGAGTTCCACAAGTAGGGAGGTTCCGCTACAATCCAATTGGAAGCTGAGAACCATTGGATGATAAACATAGCCTTCCAAGAACCTATGTTCAGGCAGCACAACTGGTTTCCAGGCCATCTCCAGGTGAGTAGGTAGTGACTACCAGGTCGTGGGATGACCAGAATCTGGTCGTTCCGAACTTGCCATCGAGGCACATCAGGTTCGAAAAAAGACACGGGCTGCTTCGCAGTCTGAGGAAAATACCCTTGAGCCCGCCCAAAAAATGGCTGCAGGGGCCATCCAAACTGGTGCACTCACACGGATCAAATCTGGTCAGCTGACCACTGTATGTATGTGTAGAAGAAACCGTACGCCGAACGCATGTGTTAATATGTGTGTATATTATACAATTGAATACAGTTTTATGCACATCAAGATGAACATCTTGATGTTGACATCAACAATTCAACAACACTGCTAGATTCGCCACATTTGCTCCAAGAAGTTGTGAACCCATCTCCGGTCGCGCACTTGCCGTTTTCACAGCGGCTTCAAGTGGCTAGTCCGGGCCTTCGCCTTCGCAAACAGCCCATTGCCGGTGAAGGTACTTTTTCCTGGGAAGCGCGGGCAAATCAAATGAAATCAGGGTGCATGTTGGAGGCCATCGCTCCTAGGTTGGAAGCCATCGCTAGTAGGTTGGAGGCCCTGGGTGCATGTGATCAAGCTTGGCTGCCCTTGGTTGCTCTCCAACCCCACGGGCTTCATCAGAACCTGAGAACCCTCGTTCATCGTCAACCCTCCAATCAACCAGCATGCTTATGCCTCCGGGTCGGAAACCGAACGTGTAGTCGTGCTAATCTTTAAAATCGGTATATATATATTTTTTTGCACTTTTCCGACCCGGTTCTGTAGACGATCATGATGATGATGATGATGATGATGATGATGATGATGATGAGTTGTTGATGTGACGACACACGATACTACGGGAGGTTCGGGGGGGGTTTGGGGGGCTGGATTCGTGCGTGTGATCACTAGAACACGATGGTGATGAGTTGTTGGTGCGACGACATGTACCAAAGTCGCTCTCTTCGAAATCGTTCCTCATTGAGCGAACGATTCGGTCGTGGCAGTGGCGCTTCATGCACACAGGTTCACACAACCTGGTGTCACCGTGCGGAAAACAACTGTCAAAGAACATGTGAAAAAGGCGGCAAACAAACGCGCGAGTTTTGCGTTGCATTTCCTATGGTTTTTAACAGCTTTCTCAAAAGAACACTCACGAAACGACGCCCTAAATTTAGGAAAAATATGTAGATTTCACTGCAAACTACATGGTTAGTTTTGTAGGGCACAGTCAGGCTCCGTGCATAGGTGACAAATAATGACCTCAGACATGTGGGTTCTTTACACGGTTTTTGTTGTTTGGGAGACTTCCTCATGTTTAAAAATGCATTCTGAATTCTGCTTCCTCACAACAACACATTCTGCTTCCGACCCGGAGGGATGTTGTTTGAAAGCCAATGCCTGGAACCCATCAAGGTAAATACATGTAAATACCTACACTTGAAGCCAAGTTGCAGTTCCATGCCTGCCTGAGCTGGACAAGCAGAAAATGTGAGGATGACAGCTTCATTCGTTCAACTCGGATTTCCTGCAAGCAAGACACCCCCATCCATGGATTGTGCGCAAATCTGCCCTCATCTTTCTCCACATCAATGTGCTTCAGGGACACCTCATCCAAGCCAGGTTCAGCATGTTCAGCCGGACTTAGCGGTTGCATGTAGTAGCTGGCGCTCTTGGCCGCAGCTGCCGCACCTGTTCTCCGCGCCGGCTGCGCCAGTTCCGCCGCTTCCACTGGCTGTGCACGAGTCTGCGCTTGAAGCGCCTGAGGAGCTGGCAGTTGAAGATGTGCTTGGGGCTGTTCCTCAGGCTGTGCTGTAGGCGCTTCCACCTGCTCTTCGCTTGGGCTCTCAGGTCTCAATGGTCTCAACCGAGCACCGCTGTTCGCCGGGGGTGTTCGCCTCAATGGCAACGCAGCCTGAATCCGCTCCAATTCGGCCTTGAGGGCACGGGAGAACGCCATCTGCCGTGCCTTTCCTGTCTGTTGGGCTATGTCCTGCCATTGCTCCGGTTGGCGGTTTGAGATCAGTTCGGCCTTCTCATGAGCCGATCCACTGGCAATCAGGCCCTCCGTGACTTCATCGGAGATGGTGAGGATGTCAGAAGGTAGGTACTGCAGGGAATCGCTGTAGGCCACAATGGCCTGTTCCAAAGCTAGGTTGTCCTGCCGACCACACGCGAAATGCATCCGATCGCTGGTTTTTCTTGGAACTCTATCATACCTTTAAGGTCGCTGACCATGTCGAACTTGGGCTTAACACCTCATGCAGTGGTCAGGGTCGCCCTTTACCTGAACTCCAACGAACCAAGTTCCGCCCATCACAAGCATCCAACCTCCGGCCACCTCAAAGACTTCTCCTCCAAAAGGTGTTCCAACTCCTCCCGGTTGATGGCTCCCGACAAGAGTGGCGCCCGGCGCAGCAGTAGAAAGGTCGCCTCCTTGGAGACGTGGAGACTTCGCAAGGTCTCCGAGTCATCCACCGGTCGGTCTTCGAAGAGCAACACCTGATTGGCCACCGGCGTGCCTCAGGAACACCGCGAAGTGGTCCAAGGCACGCTGGTTGGATTGGATTGGTTGGATGATCCTGGAAAGCAAGCCTTCAGGATCCTTCATGTATGGGTTGAAGGAGCTTAGTTTTGGGAGTTGGGAGGGTGCAGCCTTCACCACTCTGGCAAGCACCTCTGCCAATCATCCGGTCCTTTAAAGCCTGACCTCTTTCCATTCATGAGTGATGCGCAAAATGGAGGGACCTCTTGGGGATGATCAGGGTCGGCCCCCTTCCTTCCATTCTGAACGAACCAGGCAAGGCCAACCCCAACCATTGGATTTGGTCATTGTGGACATTTCGCTTTTCCCCACCCCCAGCTGTCACTTAAGGAGCTTGAGCCAACGTTTCCTAAAATCAGCCTGAAGCCCGACTGGCGAGGGGGACTCTCACAAAAGCATACAAAAAGCAACTCTTTGGCAGCAACATGCAGGTGCCCGACCTTCCAATCCTGCAATCTGCGTCTTCATTTGCATCATTGGCTTCTCAGGGCTCACCATGAGCTGTGCCACTTGCTCCCCCGAGGGCAGCATCACATTGATGGCAATGGGCTCCATGGGCTCTTGGCGCAGCCTTTCGCCGCACTCGTGCTGGTGTCCCAGTTTCTTGTAATGGGTTGATTGGACAGAAGCACTGAAGTCTCGTTCTTGCCCTAATATGTCATAAAGACATGTTGCACATTGCAGATGGGCATCATAAAGACTTTGTTTAAACGACTTCGTGGCTGAGGAGTCTGGTCCTTACCAGACTTGTGCCGTTCCAAGAAGGCGTTCCAATGATGCGCTCCACTAAATGCAGTTGTCCTTTGGTCTTTGCACTGCATTCTGCTAGGGTGATGCAGCAAATCTTGTCATAACACTGCCACTGACTCACTCCCTGCCTGGCTTGCTCATGCCACATACAGCAATAAACACCGCAACCCCCAACATTCCAGACCTTTGCAATGACCATGGTCGCCATCTTCATCAAGGGAATCTTAGTAATTACCCCTCGAAGTTGCAATCTGATTTTGGGGGAGCTTGACCCTGCGTGCTCCCAAGAAACTCACCTGTCGATGTCAACAATGGCCTCTCTCGCCGGTTGGTGGGTAAAACCCCACGACCAAGCGGCGCATGGCATAGCTGGCATCAGCCCTTTCCTTTTCCCTGGGAGTTCTACAGACCTTTGGCCTGAGAGCTGCTTCCGAAACCCCAAGGGATCCCAAAAGGGCAAAGATTGAACATGCGTGGCTTGATGCAAGCAGGCAATGGCTTCATCCTAACCATGTTGCTGCTTTATTGACATCATTTCTGCATTCTTAGCCTGCCAAGCCCCACAAGTTCAAGAGCCCTTTGGGTCAACTAAGCACCAACTACTTGATGCCAGTCACGCGCACCTGTGCAAATTGGAGTGCCAAAGGTGAAGGTGTGTGTGTGTGTGTGTGTGCCCCATGGGTCATGAAAGGAACCCACTGCCTACACAATATGTTGTTTCTGTGGTGTTGTCTTCTCTGCAGGGGTCAGGGTGTTTTCACAGCCTCGTGTGCCTCAAGGGTGCCTGTTGTGATCTGTTGTGTGGCATTGTGAGAGCCCCGTTCGTAGCGTCTTTGCTCCTAGTAGTATGGCCAGGAGCCCCCAGTAGCTTTTGTGCCTGCATAAGAATACCCAAGCTGCCTCCCCGGTCCCTGTGTGAAACCACCCTTCTCTTTGGAAAAAGCATTGTGAAAACACCGCCGTGTCAAACAGAGGCCTCACCCCTCTCTGTCCACAAAAGGCCTAAGGCCTCCGTTCTTCCGGATCCTTCGCCGCCTGTGACTCCTTCAAGTTCAAAGCCTTCGCCAGCTTTTGCTCAGCCACTTGCCCGAACTTCCCCTCACAGCGCCACTCCGAGACCGAGGCGTTGGCGAGACTTGCGAAGACCCACGAACGGTGAGCGTTCGTGGCACCGTGGAGACGAAGACCCAGCGAAGGTGAGCGAGTGCCGTGGACGCCTGAACATGTTCAATGAAAGTTCTGGACCTTTGTATGGAAGACTCAATCACCAACGGTTCTTGTTCATGATTCGCCACTGAAACTGCTGGGACCTGGCATGCCAAATGGCCCCAAAAGCACTTCTGACGCCCTGTCCAAATCACATGGCCCCAAGCAACCCCAATGCCGTTGGGGGCCCCATTCCGAGGTTCATGAAGCTTAGGCTTAGATAATCTTAGAAGGCCCTCATGGATTCTCCGTTGGTCGTGCCGAACTCCAAGAGGACTTGGTGGGTGTCTCTCCCTCACACAGCCCTCCGCAGAAGTCTGCAACATGTCAGGGCGGACAAGCACAAGAAAGGTCTGCATGCTTTCGTGTTGTCGATGGACGAGGTGACTTGAACAAACAAACTCAATTGGATGCCCAAGGCCGCCGCGTGCCTTGGTGCTTCCTCTTAAGCTGTTCTGTCTGGTCTCTCAGAATCCTGTTTCCTTTGGACCAACCTGTTCCCCAGAACAGGTGTTCCATTCCCCATGCCACCTGTTGTAGAACCCCGCCAACCCAGCCTTGTCGTCGATGGCAGTCGACCTGACAGCGCATTGGCTACGCATGCTTTTAGAGTCCAGGTGGCGACCCAAGTCACATCATTCGTATCATTATTCATGAAATCTCTCGCGCATGGTGTGACAGTTGCCACTACCGAGTTGCAGGTTATGGCTTCAGCCTGGACCAAACCACTTCCACATCATCTGGGATCTATTCAGCCAGCGATCGACCATCCTGGAAGACCCCTGCCGAGTTCCCAGAAAGCGCACCTCAGGCCAGACATGCGCAGCTTCACAGGGACCATCTTCTGCTGTTCCTTGGTTTTCTTGTCCTCTGATGGCTGGGGTGGCGTCAGCAAAGGCCTATAGCATGAGCAGCTGTTGCTGCTATAGGGTCTATTGCCGCTTTGCCCCTTCGGTGTTGCCAGCCAAGCAGGTCAATTTCAAGTGCGCTTGGATGGTGAATCTCTACCTACCGTCCTTGAAGAAACATTCATCAATTGCACCCCTCACGGGGCTCCAAAGAACCTAGGTCAACGGTGCGTACACGGCCGTGGGCAATTTTGTCTGGTCTTTAGATCTTGGAGGCAATTGTAGGCCTTGAGCCTGGCTGGGTTCCTGCTGTTTTCTGGAACTTGTCTCAGTGAGGCCTCAACTTGACTGGGAAGAGTGTAAAGTGAGAGCTTCGCTGCAATGAGAAGTAGACTTTGCTTCTTTTTGATGATCCCCCAACCAGCTAAACCAAAAGTGCTAGAATTGTTACACCGTCTTTCAAAATGTACATTTTTGAGAAATACATACTCAATGACAATAATTTCAATATATTTTTTAAAAAGTTACACTTTTACTAAATACATACTCAACTTGAATATCTCCGGGTTATGATTAATGATGAATAGTACAGTATATGATGAATCAAGTACAGACAGGAGTCTCTGATGAATAGTACAGTATATGCGACTTCCCATGAGTCTCTGACAGGAGACTCTTCTTCATTGCCAGCACAGCATCATCAGTAAGCATGACTGCGCCCTCAACAAGGTCTGAACAACTCCAAACACGGCTCAGTAGTGGCACCATGTGATCCCCAATGGCTACATGCAACAATCACTGGATTACACAATACATGCTCATGTAACACCATTACATGCTCATGATCTCCGCTCAGAATCCGGGTTTCTCCGCTCAGAGTCCGGGTTTTTCCGGGTCTAGTCCGGGTCAGTATTTTCTCCGGGTCTTAATTTCTATTTCTCCGGGTCACGTTTTACCTAATACATGCTCACCAGTCCAAATACACGCTCAACCCATTTTCTCCTATATCACGTTAATCACGCTCGCATTCTATTTATATCTATATACAATATGGGAAGGTGTTCTTCCATCGGGCTGGCACCATCAAATTCTTGGAGCCTCTCATGTAGACAATGGCCTCCTCCAAGCAAGCCTGCCCGGAGATATTCAAGCATATGACCAACAGTATATGATGAATCAAGTATACTGCAATGCATGTTATGACCAACAGGTTATATTTAATATTAATTAATGTTATTTATGCAATTACGCAATACCTACCCTTTTACTCAATACATACTCAAGATTAAAATTTTTATACCAAAAGCCAAAATCAACATTTTTCAAAAAAATGTACTTTTTCGGGTTGTTACGGCTTAGCTGGAATCTATATGTATGTTGTTTTTGAAAACTAGACGGATATGGACCCCCAAAACAAAACAAAGGACAAGGGAGCGGACAAGACGACGAAAAAGGAAACGAAAGAACCGGAGATCTGCGAGCCATGACACGAGTCCGTGTTGTGTTCAAAGTCTCCAGTATCGACGGGAACGGTCCCTGAAGATCTCCGCAGTGTTCGTCTTTGGAGTTTCCACGAAGTGTCATTTCATCCACGTGGTGTTCGTAGTGATCCAGTTGGCATCAAATGTATGTGCAAGGACCATCGTATCAACTTCACGCTGGCGATAATGCAATTTGCCTCCCCAACACCCCCAACACCCCCCGAGCAAGTGGTTAACCATGAATGAGTGTGACACCTGCATCTGGCTGAACATGCATAAAAAAGCACTTAACAAGCTCTCACGCTCTTCCCAGTGGTCCTGAAGGGAAACTGTAAAACTACTGTATATATAAACGCGCACAACAATGCCTTAAAGAAAGGCATGGCCGAACTACTCACTGTCACACAGAACTTCCAAGTTCGACATAGTTCGACCACCGGTTCTGTGCGGTTCACCTCTCCAGCACCGGAGGATACCTTCCATCCATTCACCTTCAATCACCCCCTCTCCTGCTCCCTGCGGACGGCTTCTTGGACGTCCTTCTTTCTGGCAGCCTCCAGGTCGAAAGGTGGATGCTTAGCGAGTGAGCAAGCACAAGCAATCAAGCGCAAGTAAGTGCCAAGGTCAAACCTCCTCCAGCATCCAAATTAGGATCGTGCTCATTTAAGTGTCCTGCATTTCGACTGAAGTCTGAAACTCGAAGACTCCATGAAAATCATGGCCACTTCTGTGCTCAACACTCTAAGAAACTCCAACTCAACAAACCATCCCAATTGATCCTTTGTCTTGTTACCCAGCACGAGCAATAGACCCCAATCCGACACATCATTCACACAGTTCTCAGTCGCACCTCTCGAGCTTCTTGCCGCTTCTGTGCCTCTTCGGCCCTCTTCAGGGCTGTCTCTGCTGCGCGGTCCGCCTCGAGAAGCAGAACGGCGACCGCAGTCATCGGGGCGTCTATTGAAATATCGGTTGGATGTGGCATTCCTTGATTTGCAGGAACACTCACCTGCGATTCAGTCACTTGACTTTGATCGACTTCCTGCAACCCATCGGTTTCTTGACAATGATATGTTAGTGTGTCTGCGTGTGCACATGTTGGCTGCAGTGAGGTCACAAACTTCGCTGTCAATGAACACTGAGAACCCTTTGAAGGCCAGCTGCTGCGATGTCCGCGTATGCCGCTTGTGCCACGGAGCGGTACTTCGATGCCTGTCGTCGAGCAAAGGAACTGCTGATGCTCAGGTGCTCCAGTCATAGCATGAAAAACCGGGAAGAACAAGGTCATGGGGGCCCCGCATCTCCCTGATCTTGCCTGAGATTCTCTTAGGTGCCAATCTCTCACCAGCAATCCCACTTTGAAGCATTTGTTGGAGATAAAAAGCAGTCATCTCCACCTGCTGGGTGCTGTGTCCTTTAACAGCGTCAACTTGAAGTCTGTCAGGCCTCCTTTCGCAAGGCGCCCTCAATCCGCTCGGCCAGGTCCTAGGGGACGCCAACATCTGGCTGTAGCCAACCGGCTGTAGCCAACAGGTGAGCTTGCTTTGTTTCATGACCGGCTCTGCACTCTCGGAACCAAATAACAAAAAAGAAAAACAACGTCAACATGCCAACATGAAGTTCAAGAGACTGAATCTCACTTTAAGACGCAACAACACTTCTTGGGAGACCCTAGCAGCCCTAGCATATAGCTTGCCATCAATTCATCCCAAAATGTGCTCAGGCTCAAAAAGTAAAGGGATTCATTCAGCCTACCCGGAGCTCAACATTGATCGGCTCCTTGGTCTGCCGCTGAGTCTGCATGCCCTTGAGGCTGACCGCGCTGATCTGTTCGGACCAACGGGTCAAGAAATCTGCCGCTAGATCCTCGCGACTCCCAGGTCGAGGCGATGCTTCGATCTGGAATGCTGGTGAAACGTCATGAGTCATGCATCTCCAATCCTTGAATTTCACACCCCATTCACTGGTTGCAGTCGCAGTTGAAGTCACGACAATTGGTGTCCCTGTACAAACTTTCAGAAAACTCATGCAGCTTAGCAGCTGTTGGCAGCTAGAAGCTAGCACCTCCTCCCAACTACCAACTGCAAACAGAGGCTCCTCTTCGGCCAGCTGGTCCAGCTTTGCCTACAGGGCTGAACACTGCGCCATGAGTCGCCCACAGTTGTCTCATGAGTCGCCCTTCATCAGGCCACCTCTCTCCCACAGGTACCCTCCCCCAGCGTGTGACAGTCAAGAGCTGCATGTTTGGGCCCACCGGACCCATGGTAAGCCTTAAGCACCCCACCGACCCCACCGACGGCACCCGCACGGCCCACACCCCACACCTCCGCATCTCGCAGCCGCTCAGTGACCGCATCGCGAGCGCCCTGGGCGGATGTGATTGGTCGGATGGGGCTTTCTGACGTCCTCTGGCAGGGGTCTGTCATGCCGCCACGGAAGGGAAATGAGAGGATGGAAGAATGGAGAAAACAGTGCACATTGTGGTCTGAAAACTGGATGTTTCTAGTCATCCCACTGTTGAGTAGTCTTACAGATAGTTCAAATATCACTGGCATAGATAGCAACTCACTCTAAAGACAAAAGCGATCGAAACACAACATCAAGCAATTGAGTCACAAAAACTCCATGAGAGCTTCTGACAGTGAGTGGGCCCAACAAAACGCCAAACGGGCAAACAAGTGGAGAGACCCACGTTTCGAAACGCACAAAAGAATTGAAAATGAGGTTCCAGCACATGCTGTCTCCGATGACATAATATGATGTTGTGTGTAAGAGACTGTAAAAGCATGTAAAAAAGCATATGCGTAGAATCAAACAGCATGCGTGCAACATCCTGTTGTAATGTTTGCGCGTGCAAATACATATCAGCAAGAATATTCGCACAAGCAGTCAGTACAGCCCCTATAGGTTTCACACGCATCATGCGCGAGCATTCAAACATAGGAAGGTCAACGCAAAGCCAGACTAATCGAAACACAGCACGGCACTACTCTGGAGGCTCATGCATTCTCAAGCAGTTCAAGCAGCCTTTGATCACACTCACATTTCAAACTATAGACGCTGCTCCAGCTTACGCACTGCACCTGGCAGTATGCATGCGCTTCCAATAAATGCGTGCAAGCGGGGGGATATGGTGCGCGGGATGTAAATATACACGCACACGATAGGGCGGAGAGTACAATTTCCAGGCTTTACAGGCACCAACAGACTACCACCGGGACGTATTTTAAGCAATTTTTTAAAACATATCACGAAAATACTACCCTGTCTTGACATGTGGCACAGCCAGCTCACAGCACCGGCACGAGCACCGACACCCTGTCTCCAAAGCACGCGCAGCCAGCTGACACCACCGGCACCAGCACGCACAGCCAGATTTGAAGTAAGAACCCCGTAGCTTTCGCTATCTGAGGAAAAAGGAACCAAATTCACGTGGTGATAGGATAGGATCGGGCACAGCCTTGGCCATCTCCAACTCAATCCCCAGGCCCTGCTGAATCTGCTCCACACGTGGCAACCTGCCGATGTGACCAGGTGAGTTGTACCAAACACTGGAAAAATCAATGAAACCAATAATAGCACCCTCTGATTTCAATCAACATTTTTTGTACGCATTATACCTAATCATACCTCTATGCATATACACCTATAACCTTTGGAAATATCACACTCAGTTGCAAGCAGGTGAGTCGTTAGGGGATGCTTGGTCGATTGGCACAATGAGAAACAATCCCCCTCCCCGATTGAACCTGAGGACCTCCAATCTTATCTCATAATTCTGATCACAATATGTTCCAACATGTTCCAACCAGGATTGCTAATCACCAGCGGACCTAGCGAAGCGCCCTATCGACCATCTTCGACCCACGCCCTTTCGATCCGCCTCGACGTGGGCGACCGCGTCGAATCGGGGCTGAGCTGCTCCATGGAGCGCTGCTGTGCCGCTTTGAAGTGGCCGATGGTCTCCGTGGTCTTGGCGAAGTGCAGCTTCCTCAAGCGATCGCGAGGGGCGATGGGCGTGTGGCGGGAACAAGAAAGGTTGCCTGATTCAAGCATGTTGTGCTGGATCAGTCCCCGCCAAAGCTAGTTTCCTTGGGCAATTCTGGACTCATCTGAGGTTCCAGTTCTTCACCGAAGACTGGGTACTAGTCATCCCGCCTTTCTTTTGAACCAACTAGCAACAAGAACGCTACGAACGGGGCTTCCACTCTCCATCTCTATCCCTCCACTTTGCCCGCCCACTTCGACGCCCACGCCCACGCCTCGCCGACTCGGCTGAGTGTCAGTTTCACTTCGCTCTGCTCGGCCTTCGTGGCGGCGCCCGAAATGCTGCTGCCGTTGGGAGCGAAGGACTTGGACTCGATCAGCTCACGCGAGCGGAAGAGCCAGTCACGAGCGGTGCCAATCGCCAGGGCACACATGGCTTCCTTGAGACTTGTGAAAACACGGGGCGTAGCAGCTAGTAAGGTTGAACACCAGGTATGAGAATGAGCAGAATTATAGCTACCTCAAAAGCAATATATACCTAAGAGCCTTCTCAGAATAATAGTGGCGCTGCAGAAAAGATACATAAGCAACTGGTAATTCACAAGCTTCTCAAACAGGGACCTCCTGCCAAGGTGCTGTTTTTGACGTCGCGCCACCAGCTCGACGGATGACCAACTGCTTTCCAGCAATCACGTGGTTCACATCCTCCTGATGCCAGCCACCACATGCTCACCCAGGCTTCTGGGAAGGGCTGTGCACGTGCATCATGACAAGGCTTGGTGACAAAGCAACACGCCCCGGTCGCCTCTGTCCACCAAAGGACCTTCTGTGCGTTCTTCCTCATCGGCCTGCCGGTCAGATCTCCACTCGAATCTCCACTCACATCAGGCAGACCTGAGAGTCTGAGAGAAAGTGCTCCCACACAAAGCCCACTTGAGACCCAAAATGGATGCTGTAGGGTGCCCTAGAGATTCACAGCCTGCAGGTCAGACTTCACATGACGTCCCTATCTTCCAGACCTCACAGGTAGCAATTCATGAGCCTGGCGTGCATTGATCAAAGCCCATCATCCGAAACATCCCCCCCCCCAAACCTGAGGATCCGAACCTCACGCGTCTCAGTCGGATGAGCTCATCTTTCAGCTTTCGCGTCCTTGGATTTGGCCAATCTTCCCCAGAACTTGCTGTGACTGTAAAGGCTTTGTTTGGCCTCGTTGGTGCCTCTGAGGCGGACTCAGGGGCAAATCCGCGACCCTAAAGAGGTCAGCCGGGGGACTGAATAAGTGGAGACTGACCACTGAAACAGCCCACCCACACCTCTTTGCATGTGATTGGGGCACCCGACCATCCATCACGTATTGATACTTATTGATTCGGCCTAGGTCTTCCTCTCCTCCCAAAGCCCCCAGCCGAGCCCAGCTAAAGCAGCCCAAGATCTCTATGGCGAGCTCCTCGCCCATGAGCTTCGTCCGGAGCCGGTACCGCTCCTGTGCGAAGCGGTCCCGCTCTGACTGCAGAATCGCCTGAGGCACCAAGCCACACTTGCCAGCTCTGCCAGCGAATCATTGCAAAACTGTGACAGGAGAATGAAGGAGAAACCAAAGATCGCCCACGGGAAACTGGGAATCCTCATAAAAGTTAGTGGCTGCCGGGCAGGTGCAAGCAATCGCTGAACACACTGACTCTGTGCGGGCCTGATGCTCCTTCTCCTTCTGCCGTAGCTCATCCTCTCGCGGACATGTTACACATATGTGATGCATCACTTCTGTGGTGCAGCTTGGACCTACCACGAGAGGGCAAGATCCGTCCTGAAAGGCTTTGTCCTTCTCCTTCAGCTTCAGTTCCTGTACAAGCTACTCCCAATGGCAAACATGTGCCAGGGACATGCCAGGGACACATTGCCGTCACGAGAAACGCTTCGAACAATTTTCTGTTCTGAGAGGAATGTTCAGACCGCACGTAGAACCACAATTCTTCCATCGTCAGCATGTTGTACTTCGGTAATCGTTTGAAACCCTTGTGGGGCACTTGATTGCACCATCGTCAGACTTCAAAGCCTGCTGCTTCAAAGCCCGCTCAGACTCAGCTTTCTGCCTTGGCCGGAGTCTTCTGAAATACGAGGTTCTGCTCAGGATTTGCCATTAGCGGTTCAAACCACATGATCCCACTTCCGCTTGCTCGAAAAAACACAGCTTCAGGACTCACAACAGTCTGCTTCTGAGTAACTATGCCAAAGGAGGCCAAACGGAAGTACTTGCAGAGCAAGCTTCCAAGCAACAGTCCAAGTGACTACATTGACTACTGACCACTAGACTACTGGTTGATAGGTGGACCTGACAACTTCTGAAACAAAACATGACGAGTCCCAACCTTTTTACTTGAACCGGCCCCCACTTTCAGCCGCCGAATCTCTCTGCAAGCTCATCTTGTTCCTGCAGAATGGTGGCGAAGGCCGCGCGCTCATTCGCGTCCTTAGCTTGCGCTGCACTTCTCTGGTGTTTTCCCCTTGCCATCGACGCAAACGCTGGGCACCCATTGTTTCTTGACAAAACAATGGCAGGAGGGGCTGACACCCTTGTGACATCTGGCTCCTCTGACTCCTCTGCCTCTCATCACTGGGTGAGCCACCAATCGGTTACAGTAAGTTTCACCGGGTGTCAGGGTGTTTGGCACCTATCCACTGAACAAACATATCAGAAAAAACATGAAAAATCACATACAACTACAATGTGAAACCGGAAAGCACCTGGCCTCTCCCCTTTTGCTAAACTATCGTTGAAGCCGAATCCTTGCCCCTGCACACGACCCAGTAAACGTAAAAGGTCACAGCTGACTAGTCTGATGCCGGAATGCCAAAGCAAAACGCATCATAAAGTGCACCCCGCAACAACCAACGGTCTGGCACACTCATCCTCGCCAAGCCATCCCATCATGCTATCGGCAGAGAGGCCATTCCAGCAAAGACCTCGCCCAAGTCATGGTCAAGTCCTGCCAAGTCAGTCCGCAAAACCTGGAAGATTTGCACCGAACGAAAACAATCGAAAACCACAGGAGTGAGTAGGGGCTAGCGGCTAGGGATCGTATTCTCGACATGTCACAAGTCACCCAGCAGTGAAGGACAATAGGAAGATGTTGTCCACCTTGAACTCAGTGGCTGCCTGGCTGCCCTTCAGTCCCAACAATCATTCTCTGCAAGGCAGACGTGACAGAAAGCCCAGTGCAGTGACGAATCTATTGTCAAAACATGTCAAAACAGAGAGGGGAATACTCTGAGGCCTTTCCACCCTACACCCCCACAACCATAGTGCGTGTGTTTCTGAAAAAAACTTGGCTCCTCCGGTCATCCATCCGTTTTCTTTTGTGGCACTCCTTCAGGGACCTCCTCCGGCATCGGCACATCCAGCATCTCCATCTTAGATGGAAGGCCTCAAGGCACACGGCGTAATTCGACGTATGACATGATGGCTGGAGAGCGATGTTGTGGCATTTCAATGACTATACTGCCCTAGGAGTCGTTTCTAAGCATTCCTAGCACATCCTAGCACTGTGGCGTCCAACGAACTCCATCCAAGGGCGCTTTCTCTGGCCCGTCAAAAGCAAACACACAGCCAAGCTGAACGAATCACCACCCAAAATCGCCACTGAAGGGCACCTTGTGGGAAAGGCCTCTCGGACAACGACAAGGGGACTGCATCCACAGCGATGTCCGCAGGAGTCTGCGTTTCCATCTCCACCCTCTGGCTGGGCTCCTGGAACAAATCCATCGCAAGCGGCCAGGTCGATAGCATTGGAGACACTGCTTGTCACTATCCTTCAGTTGCAGGCCTCAAAACCCAAAATATTCATGGTAGGATATATGAGGAAAAGTATGGAAAAGTCAAGAAGCGCCCCTTAGAGCAATTTCAGAGATACCCTGCATAACTTCTAGATCTCAAAGTGTGAACCTGTTGAGTTGAGGCATATCTTGCGCAAAGTAGTTGTGTCTGACAAAACACTGAACGCCTGAATTCACTGAATGTCCCGGTGTCACACCCGCAAACCATCAACAATCACCCAAGACTGTCCATGCTTGGCCAAGGACGAGTCGATCGTGTCGGATTGCCTCATCGGAGCTGGGTGCTTCCAGCAGTTTTGGAGGAAGATCTGCAGGAGGATCCAGCCAAGCATCCACCTGTGTCAGGATGTCTCATGGATGTCTCATGGATGTCTCATGCCGCTGAGAAAACGGCTGTGATGAGAGTGGAGATGGTGTGCGAGCAATGAACATATACAGGTGTGGATGAGTGAAACATCAATCACATGATGTGATGTCATAGGCTTCTAAGGAGCTATACAGCTACACTTCCCAAGAATCCACCTTGAAAAGCTTAAAATAGCAACGTGGTCTGTTCCCTCGCGTGAGGGCAAACAATGTCTTCAACTCAGAAACCACCTATCCACCTTAACAATACCTAAACAATGGTTATTGAATGCTGTACATATCTTGGACATGAAAACGATGAAAAGAACCCCTCCAAAACTCCCGCTCGTCGCCAAAGGCGCCTCCGCATCGGTGGGGACTCCATGGACGGGATCTCGGGCACCGGGGTCCGGCCAAAGCTGCTGCTTCACTTGCCGCAGGGTTTTCACCTGCGAGTGGTGCTCGTTGGGTCGAATTGGGTCGAATCAGTTGGTCTTGCGGCTGTTGAATGACATTTACATATATATATATATACCTGATATATACTGATACAACCTGATAACACCACCTGATACTTACCTGATCTGAACCTGAAAGCATCTGAAAGCTGTAAGTGTGCGATTCTGCTGCAAGTTCAGCTCTCCATCGTGGACAGGACGCACAAAAATCCCTCAGTTCCAAGGCTTCCACTTGCACTTTGAGAGCTGCGTGCCGGGCTGGTCTCAATCGGCTCATGGTGGCCTCCGCCTGCCACGCTGAAAGTCAATCCAGTTTCGTCTTCGGTTCGGGGCGTGATGGTTTTTACATCAATCTAACACGGACCGCCCTTCCTTGTGGTAAACGTACCCCTGCGCCCCACTGAAAGCAGTAGAGAGTTCAATCGCAAGCTCCGAAACACATTGAGATCCTCAAAGGCATACAGGTAATGCCTTTGAGCCGCCCAAACGGGCCTTATTACTGGGCACCTCTGACCGCCGCATAGCCTCCATGAGCTGCAACAGAGCAGCCTTCAGGCTTCAGCGGCTGAAGAGCTTCAGAAGGACCGTCGACTGAACAGACTGAAGCTTAGTAGGGAGCACGGTCGATACCTTACTTAAGCTTAGGGCCTTAGGATCGAGGTACCCTCTTTCCATGAACTCGCTGCACCAGTCAGGTAAATAGTTGTTAGCCACCACAGTGTTCTCAATCCCGTCCCCACTGTCGGTCCTCTAAGGCTTTCCACTTCTGCCGATGCACTTCCACCATTTTCCTGCCAAGCTTCTCACATGTTCTCACCGAATCCCTTGTCCTGGACCCTGGCGTCATCCCGATTGCTCAGCCGTTCCAACCAGCTCCTCCGTTCGGCGGGGGGCCAGGTGTAGGACTCCTTCAGTTGGCGCTCGAACTCTTGGCAGAGATCTTCGCGGCCGTTCTGCAGCCACGCGCTGAGGAAGTCCAAGACCTGGGCACCAGCGGGCCGCGGCCGGTTCCAGCGTGGGAAGGGTTCCAGCCGTGCACATGTGAAGGCCTTTTCAGGATGCGCGTGGTTCCGAGTCAAGGTCGCACCCTAATCAAGGTCGCTTCAGGAAACATGTGAAAAAATGAATGAGAAAAACCACCACCGCCTGCTCGGCGCCGGTGGAAGACGGTGACGACGGTGCGCGTCCTCCACAGGCCGGTGGCGTGCACGAGCGCGGAAATTTAGCCTGACCACCCAACCACTTCGGCGCTCAAAAGAGTCATCAAGTCCAACACCTTCCAAACAATCAACATCCACTCCTGCCGGTTGCACCTCAGTTGCCTCGGCCGCCTGTTGAGCTGCGCGCTCCAGCAGTTTCTGCCGAGCGGGGGGGAGCCTTCTGGTGCGGTGACACGACACTTGGTCCGGCAGAATGAGCTCAAAGGACGTGACTTGTTCGATCTATGTCTAATTAGTTCTGTAGGGCAGTCCAATGACGCCTTGTCAACCACAACAGAAGTCCATTTACGCAAACACCACGGGTCAACGGGAATTGAGGCCTTCAAACAGAAGTGCGCATGTTTGTGTGTTTCAGCTTTGTGAGGCTCACGCAGCCAAGGACACATATCATATAAGCTTACATTTGCCTTTCCTTGGTCGAGCAAACCATGTAATGGTCAACGTCAACCAATTTTGCCTCGGGCTGAGCACATCGCGGAATTGGTCTAGACCAGAAAACGACCAGCTCCTTCGTTCCAGTTCTTCAGCATCAGCGAACCAAATCCGCCCGACATTCGGATACTTCTGCTCGAAGCCCGGAAGTGCTGCAGCCTGGTAGCAATAAACATGCGGCGCGTGGGTGTCTAAGGAATGATTGTTTTTAACTACCAATTTGCTGCAGGTATATTTGGGAAACTACCTGCAACCCCTCTCATCCTCAGCTCTCTGAAAATTGAGGTTTTGAATGCCCCCAACTCCTCCACAACTGCTAGTAGTGACTCTTGGATGCCCCATCCCTGCCTCCGGCAAGCGTGGGAGAAACGCATAGGGTTTCTGAACATCACGACGGCCGCTCATGTGGCCCACACAGGGCTGAGCAGTGCTTGGTGCTCTGTGTCCTACTCTTAGTGCCCTGGCAGTGTCACACGTCCATGCAAAGGAGGAACCTTCTAACTACCGAATGTGGGTTCCATGATTTCGTCCTATTGCCAGAAAACACTGCAAGCGAGCCATTGAAAAGGACCTTGAGCCCAATGCTAGCCGATCATTTGGAACCTGCCATGGGGTTGACAAGGGTTGGTGTTCCGTCGGCGCTACCCGAACTCAAATTTACACATGATTTGTTGATTCAACCACTGAACGCAAGAACGTCCGCAATGTCGCCTACAGCAAGTGCACCATCAAAGGACTTCCACAGCCGTTGTTTTGAGGTTGGCTGGGCCCACTACACTGCACCTCTGATACCCGTACTGGGCACATGTCTCGTGAGTCTGATATTCGAGCCGCCTTTTGTCAGGCTCCGGACCAAGGAAGAACATCACCCCCTTCCACTGCAGGCTGCCTTCCGTCAACTCTCCATTGAAGATGTCGGAAGATGTGACCCGACAATGCCGTCAGCCCACATGCAACTCTTGCATCATTGCATCAAACTCGGCCTCCCCTTCGTCAATGCCGTCTTCAGGCTTCGTCGGCTGCAGGCGAGTCTGGATGGAAACTGTTGATTTCATTCGTTCCTTCTTGCGCCGCTTTTGCTCAGCCCTGGATGGACGCCGTTTTGCTTCTTCGGCTTTGGGACTTTCCTGTTCTGGCGCAAGCTTCAAAATGTGGAGCCGCCGCTGGTCCCCAACTCCGGTTGACATGTGCGTCAACTGGAGCTCATTGGCCAACTGGTGCAGTGCATATCGTTCTGTTGGACGCAAACCTTCGAAGCTCAACTGCCTGCCTGGTGGAAGTGAAGCAAGCTGCTCGCGCCATTCGAGGAGCCTCGCTGGTGGCGCGGTTTCTCCACTGATCGCCTTTCGAAGCTGCACGTCCTCGGGATGGGCACCCTTCATTTCCGGGCGGCGGAGCTGTGTAGCTCCATGTGCGAAGTTGCACCTGCTCCCGTTGCGACAATACCCACTTCGCAGCCAGTACTCACACAAAACAGTCCGCCGGTTGTTCATGGCACTGCTACTAAAATGGCGGACTGGAGATCCTATGAGCCACAGCGGCTTCAAGCGTCATGGAGAGCCCCGGTCCTGTTTCAGCCGCCCAAACATATGGAACGATTACAGTGCACACCAAGCCACGAGCCCCTAGCGTCCTGCTTCTAGTAGCGATGCCACGAGCCCCTAGTAGCGTCCTTGCTCCTAGTAGCGGTGCCAGGAGCCCCTACTACCGTCCTTGCTCCTATCCCCCAGTAGCGTCCTTGCTCCTATAGTAGCAATGCCAGAAGCCCCTAGTAGCGTCCTTGTTCCTAGTAGCAATGCCAGGGCCCCTAGCAGCGTCCTTGCTCCTAGTAGCGATGCCAGGAGCCCCTAGTAGCGTCCTTTCTTTTAGTAGCGATGCCAGGCGCCCCTAGTAGCGTCGCGATGCCAGTACCCCTAGTAGCGTCGTTGCTCCTGTAGCGATGGCAGGAGCCCCTAGTAGCGTCCTTCCTCCTAGTAGCGATGCTTGGACAAAAGCTGCGTGCGCGGTTTTACCTCATGAACCTGCGCTATCCAAACGATAACAGCCCATCCACTCCTCTGGACCGCTGACTGACTTCGTCAACTCCAGAGTTCAAATAGCGCTGCCTTTGTGTTCGAGGGGTTTAACAATCACACTCAATCTTGCACTCTTCCATCTCTACGTCAGCTGCAGCTGCCTCCATCCTTAAACTCGGTTCTCTTCTGGTTGTTCCGCATCAAGTTGAAACCTATCCATCTGTTCCATTGTATCCATTGTGTCTGGCGCATCTTCTCCTAGCATCTCTCAAGCACTGCTCCACCCTCCTGCCATTCTCCTGACAGCACGCGGACGTTTTTTTCGGCATAGAACTGATCATCTGCATCATCCGACGGCACATCACTCTGAGCTCTCTGGCATACTCCTTATCGCTGATGTTTCTTCTCTTTTTACACGCCTCACCACCTGAGCAACCGGTCTTGGTGTCACCACCAACTCATGTTCTGGCGCTGAAAGTAGTCTCCACCTACTATACGTTGTTCTGCAACTCGGTTTGGCTCTAGATCTGGATTATTTCATGGATCTCAACTTCCACGGGCTCTCTCTCTCTCTCTCACTCCTTACTCCTCTCGAACCTGTCCTTCTCAACCTCCGAATTTGCGTTTTCTTCCTCTTCCTGCCGTTCCAGATGGGAACTATATCGTTTCCTGCACTCATTCGAAATTGATCTTCTCGGTCATCTTGTCCAGTTCTGCTAGGAAATCTTGGTGATCCAGTTGGTTGATATTCGCTTTCTTGTTCTGTCTCTGGAGAAGAAGTTCCACTCAGCAGTCAGTCTGCCAGTTTCAATAGCTGCCAATCTGTCTGCATCGGTCAAATTGCCTAAGGTTCGATTTTTCGCGCACGAAGCTCATGAACTGGGTCAATTCCACTTTTTGCTGAATGAGCTGTCTCCCAAGTTATAAAACAGCATTGTGCCAACGATCATCACGAACACTGTCACCGTCCAAGGTGCAATCACTGTTGATTGGTTCTTTGCTTGTTGAGATGTAAAGCCTTCCCTGCTTGTAGAGTGTAAAGCCTATTCTCCGCCTCTAGTATCACCATGTACTCGTTTGTTGCATGATTGAGACTGCTACATACGCAGCCCCTTTTGTATCAGCGCCCCAGCGAGACATAGGAACGCCAGGAGCGCTTGGTTGTTTCATGGTGGCGGAACCCCTGGCCTGATCCAGGGACTCCAAGACTCAGCGGGTGGCCCTGGAGTGAGTGAGGCCCACGGGTGGCACCGCGGCCTCAGGGGGTGGAAACCATTCCGCCCAAGAAGACAAAGGACTAAGAGGGGAACCCAATCGAGCTTCAAGACTCTCTCCAGACAGCAAAGGAGAGGGAAGCAGAAGAAGAAGAAGGAGGCCCAGGGTCCAGCGTCCAGGGCCCAGCGTCCAGGGTCTAGGGCCCAGGGTCCCGGGCTCAGGGTCCAGTGTCCAAGGCCCAGAGTCCAGCGTCCAGGGCCCAGGGTCCAGGGTGTAGGGGAGGGTCCAGGGCCCAAGGGTTTAGGGTTCAGGGCCCAGGGGTCCAGTCAAGGGCCCAGGGTCCAGGGTCCAGGGCCTAGGAAAAGGACAAGGAAAAGGAACAGGGCGTGCAAGGTTTCAGAGCTCAGGGTCCAGGGTTCAGGGCCCACGGTTCAGGGTCCCAGGGTCCAGGGCATAGGGTCCACTCTAAGGTTCCAGTGTCCAAGCCCTCAATTCCCAGGTCCAAGCCCCCAAGCTCCAAGGTTCCAGGGTCCAAGCCCCCAAGCTCCAAGGTTCCAGGGTCTAAGCCTCAAATTCCCGGGTCCAAGCCCGTAAGCTCTAAGGTTCCAGCATCCAAGCCCTCAATTCCCGGGTCCAAGCCCCCAATTCCAGGGTCCAAGCCCCCAAGCTGCAAGGTTCCAGAGTCCAAGCCCCCACTTCCCGGGTCCAAGCCTCTAAGCTCTAAGGTTCCAGGGTTCTATATAGCTTCTGTTTACGCAGGCTCTAAGGGTTTAGGGTTTAGGGTTTAGGGTTCGCCAACACAGGTTGGCGCCCAAGGCCTAGCTTCATTTCCAACCAAATTCATAAAACAAGAACATTTCCTCTCACTTCGTTCGAGGGTGGTGGATGACGCCCTAAACGTCATTAAACCTTGGAGCCTCAAGGAAGTTTGGGCGCCAAATGCAAAAACCTTGAAACCTTGAGCTTGCAAAAGCCAAGAAAAGGCCAGAAACCTTGAAGCCTTGAGCTTGCAAAAGCTAAGAAAAGGCCAGAAACCTTGAAGCCTTGAGCTTGCAAACGCCAAGAAAAGGCTAGAAACCTTGAAACCTTGAGCTTGCAAGGCCAAGAAAAGGCCAGAAACCCTGAAACCTTGAGCTTGCAAAAGCCAAGAAAAGGCCAGAAACCTTGAAACTTTGAGCTTGGAAAGGCCAAGAAAAGGCCAGAAACCTTGAAACCTTGAGCTTGCAAGGCCAAGAAAAGGCCAGAAATCTTGAAACCTTGAGCTTGCAAAGGCCAAGAGAAGGCCAGAAACCTTGAAACCTTGAGCTTGCAAGGCCAAGAAAAGGCCAGAAATCTTGAAACCTTGAGCTTCCAAAGGCCAAGAGAAGGACAGAAACCTTGAAACCTTGAGCTTGCAAAAGCCACTAGAGAGGCCAGAAACCTTGAAGCCTTGAGCCTGCAAGAGCCAAGAAAAGGCCAGAAACCTTGA